GCACGTGTCTAAACATTGTCCATTTACTCATTTATTTATTTGTGATTCTTTTTCTATAAAATTTGGATTTTATGCATTAAATATCAATCTCTACCATAATATGATTTTTTTACACGTAACAACACCCCTTCTAGTCCTTAGTGGCATACTATAAGTTCTTAGTGCACTAAGTAGTCCTTAGCAGTGTTTAGACGCACCCATTGAGGATGAATAGCAATTTTGTTGAAAGTGATATACAACTGTTAAAAAAAGAATTTTGAAGTTGTGGAGCCATTAATTAATCAGATTTATCAATTCACAAATCATCGAAATATATGCATTAAAACGTGGCTAGTGCACTGGCATCGATTAATGGTTTAGTGACTCCACCCCTACAGTACCCAACAATCTGCTAACCGTGGTATCGACTTTGTTGCAACACTCCAAAGCAACATAACATAGTCTTGTTGTTTGTCATAGAAATATTATGTGTTGAATTTAGATATTGATAAATAATGTCCACTCTTAATTAGACCAATTTTGTCATATAAATTAAATAAACTGAATTGAAGAAAAGTCAACACAATTAAGGAAATGCCTCATTAAAGCTATAAAACTACGGCAAATACAATAGTTCGATACAATCTTCAATAAAGATTATTTTTATAGAACAGTTATAATGCGTATTGATTTTCATTCTTTCTTGTTATTACATATTAATTTTCAATACTTGAAAAGAGAATTTTGCACCTTAAACTTTTGCTAGGACATCGATAGAAGAAAAACAATCTTTGAAAAGTCTAAGCATAGTGTACTTAAAACATGTCTGTGAAGAATGTTGTTAAGTTCATTTTGGTCATACATATAATGATAATGTTAAAGTCGTTTCAGAATGATTAAATAAATATAAAATTTATTCTCTGGTATTAATTTCATTCTCTATATATCGATTCTATTTTTTAGTTTAAGTAAAACGAAATGTACAAATGAATATATATATAAAACATGACCAGTGCTGAGGCATCGATAAATTGTCAGTAAATACTTCCTAGGAAATAACTCTTTACATATACGTTTTTTTATCTATCTGCAGATGGTGAGCTTATTTTTTGTTTATGAATGTGTAATGGCGAGTTTACCGATCGAGTTTGTCAGCTTCGTTTCGACTGACGCAGTTTTCAAAGAATTGCTACTCTGAAAAGCTCGATCATTGGAACTGATTTTTTCTGGACCATTTCCCCGTTGTTTCTGTAGATATGGAGTTGAACGTTGATTCATTAGAGTTTAATTACAAGTAACAGATCATGTTCAGCATATGACCTATGGTTCATGGAAATACGATGGGCATTCGTGTCTTCCCACATGTCTAGTTTGTATTTAGTTTTAATTTTCATTTTTTAATCACATAAGATTGCTTAATCTATAATGAATTTTACAAGCTGGTTGATAAAGATGAAGATCAATAAAAACAATCAATCGTTGAGCTGTTATATATTTTGTTTTGTCATATGACTGAGATTGCATCGGTAATATATAGTTGTTTTCGCCTCAATTAAAATATCAGATTTAATATGTGCAACGAGTAAAAAATGTGACAATTGCGTTTCTAATGTAGCAAATTATTATTGTCATTAGTATTGTATACATTTTGTCAATATCCATCCAACAGGAACTCGGCCTACTTAAAACCATATAGTTTTACGACTATCAGGTTAATTATTAATATTATTAATATTAATATTATCATTATTATTATTATATGGAATGACCATCCCTACGCGATATTAATGGAAAAGGATTGATATTTCCTAATAATTATGTAAGTTGTTAACTTAGTTTTGTATGTCATTTTCAAGTAAACGCATACCAATATTTCAAATTTGCTCAATTTTTATGGAGATGACGGCTGAGTTTGTCCTAAGTCAGGAATCTGATGTTCAGTAGTTGTCGTTTGTTGATGTGGTTCATAAGTGTTTCTCGTTTCTCGTTTTTTATATAGATTAGACCGTTGGTTTTCCCGTTTAAATTGTTTTACACTTGGAGCCCTTTATAGCTTGCTGTTCGGTGTGAGCCAAGGCTCCGTGTTGAAGACGGTACTTTGACCTATGTTGGTTTACTGTTATAAATTTTGACTAGGATGGAGATTTGTCTCAATGGCACTCATACCACATCTTCTTATATCTAATGACGGCTGAGTTTGTGCTTGTTTAAAGTGATATGTCTTTTTATATTTTATTCTTAACTTTTAGAATGCTCTTAAAGTGGGTGCATGTCATTTCTGGCCGTTATGGTACTAAAATAATAAATAACAAAATCTTGATATCAGTTTATAAGAGGAATCGTTGCTATTTACGTTCAATATATCAATACATTATGGCATTAGGGTGATGACATTTCCATATATCCCAACAATGAAAAAACAAAGTATTTGTAGGTTAATTAGTTCATTTTTAAAATAAAGCAAGATGTTATATTGAGATATATTTACAACAAATCAAGCCATGGTTACAAGATTTATTCCGGATTTTAGTGTAGATCGTTCAATGAATATCAGGGAAATATTTTTTTCGTTCAGTATTTTTTGTGTTTGCCCTGGTGTTATATGTGTAGAAATAGTGATTTTGTTTAATTACCCTCTTAGTGTTCTTTTACTTTTAATGTTTAGTACGAACGGACGTACGCAACGACCAATTTTTTTTTTTTAAAACACGATAACACAGTCGTTCTTTTTACTGAATAAAATCCAACAGATATTTAACTTAAGAAATTGATGATTTAACTTAAGTGAACAAGAAAGATCTATACAGATAGAAGTTTTAATGAAATATATTAACATTATGATTAATGACTGTTTAACGACCATCTATAAATACTACATGCTTATTTAAGACGATAGCATGATCATGTCAAATGAAAATAAAAATAAAGATATGTGGTATGACGGCCAATGAGACAACTATCCCTTTTTGTACAAAACCGACACTGTGAATCGAATGTATTGTAAGGGGCTTACTTGCTCGTAAGGTCCGCAAATAGATATTGGCTTTCAATTAGCTGTCAGTGACTGCGAGTATTCTCAGATCAGTTCTTTGTGTCTATTTTGTATTTAGGGATGTATAAATACACCGCAACATCCGGTCTGTGTTTTTGTTAGATATTTTTCTGCTTTGAATCGATCTGATAAGTTCAGCCCTTTTCAACTGATTTTTATAGTTTGTTCTTTTGCTGTGCTGTTACACCACTGTCCAAGGCTTAACAGGAGGGTTTGGCGCCAGCAAACAAGTTTAACCCGACCACATTCTATATGTGCCTGTCCCAAGTCAGGATCCTGTAGTTCAGTGGTTGTTGTTGGTTCATGTCTATCATATTTGTTTTTCGTAAATTGTTTTGTTATAAATTAGGCCGTTAGTTTTCTCAACTGAATTCTTTCATATCTTTCATGTCGGGGCCTTTTATATCTGACTATACGGTATGGGTTTTCCTTATTGTTGAAGGCCGTACGGTTGACTATAATTGCTTACATCCACTTCATTGGAACTTTGGTGGATAGTTGTCTCATTGGCAATCCTACCACATCTCCTTATTTTTATATAATTTATGTCATCCTGCCTGCAAACACGATATACTAAGTCTTGCAATTATCGCGTGCTTATTAGACATTTTCGAAAACTATTCGATACCGACACCTACGCCTATGCCTACAGGTAACCTTTTTGAGAAGGGGTCATCTCCATATGCACAACGACCACAGGCATTTAAAAACCAGATGGAATATCACAAATTCATTACTTAAAATAATCTAAAACTAATGAGAGCATTCGGTGTTTCTAGCTCCGATTCCGAACAAGAAATTATATATTTTTTTCATATATCTGCAACCAAGTTTTACGAGATCATTCATTCAGTATGTTTTGACATTCAAGTTGATACGGTCCATATATTTTTTTTGTCGGTGTAGGTATCGGTGTCGGTGTAAGTGTCTATATGGACGACTTTTCGAAAATGTCTAATAAAGAAGAAGCTTTATATGCAAATCTGTTAAAATATTCTTTATTTGACCCGCCCATGATCTCCTGCATTTGAGTCGAGCATGCTTCCATGATATCATTGAGTCGTGTTTTTTTTTCTAAAGACAATTATATCTATAGTGAAAACGTTTTATGTAACTAAACAGGGAAATACAATCAGACCAATTAAACTGGTTGCCAAAAAAGTATTTTCAACACCAGCAACACTGAAATCAATACTTTGGCACTAGAACAATTGCTCAGATTATGAAAGGTTGCGGTTTTCACAAGATTTGTTTGTTAAACGTATATAGATTTCGTTTATAATTACTTAACGTTATATAGTTAGATCATAATATAGGATGTGTAGACAAGGAGAACAGGACAATGGCTTATGGTTATATTTACACGAAATATTGAGTAGCTACGATCTTTCATTATCAAACTTACACAAACTTGTTCAATTCAAACACAACAGATGCATATGGTAATGTGGTATCTAGTCGACCCTTTAAAATTCTAGATCTTAATTTGTCCTTCTTTATATAGGAAAAAGACCATAGTTCCCTACAATCAAACTCTTCGGAAATAGAAAGTAGCACATGCTTTTTTTAAAAACAAAACCCTTTTTGTTACAATAACAGACATGAACTATAATATAAGGTATATAAGATTCTTTCCCAGTCCAATTTAGAAGATTAAATTGATGACGTTATAACAAATGCTGATAAATTTATTCTGAACAATTCAGAAGTATTGTATATCCATAGTGTGCTAATATCTATTATCGACGACTTATTGTATTATGATTATAAAAACCGGAAAATTTTATTACAAATAATAATATAATGCTTCATGGTCATTAACATCATCGTAAAACCAGGCTCTTTAATTCACGCAGTAAACATTAAATTGTGTCCTTAATAATCTATGAGAACTAATTATTCACATGTTTCTAACTTCTGTCATTTTATGCTGTTAGGTGAAATGTAAATGGTTTAAAAGTCATCGACGATAAGGCTTTTAATAAAACACATCAAAAGAGCATTTCCTGTACATTAGACACACCAGTAGGGGTTAAATGAAACATATGGAAGGACAAATCAATTAATAAGATTAAACAAGGGACATCACGTCCGAATAAACAACTAATTGGCATCTATTATTAAGTACATTTTCCACAGAGGAGCTTATTAGATATTTATTGTTCAGAAAGATTATTTACTCTTTTTCGATCAAATGGTCTTCGGATCATTTTTCGGATCAATCGATTTCTGGGAATTATAACTATTTATTTAATTGTTTTAAGTATTGATGTAGACCTCATCTGGAAATCTCACACTCGAAGGGATTATTCAATTTGTTTTTTCTAATAACAATTAAAATATAAAGTTTGAAAATTACAGTGTTATAATCTACAATTGTAGTTTTATTTATGGAATAATTGAAACAGGAAATATGACAGCACGTACAATGAGCTGTCCTGTGTTGAACAACTGTCCAAATCCAACCGGAAATATTGCGCATTTAGGACCTGCAATCAACAACATTAGCAGTACTGTTCAGACATTGATATCAGTGATAACCTACCTCAAGTGGTCATCCGTGTGTGTTGTCTTTGATAATGCTACAGGTAAGTTATCCTTTGTTATTGGCATAACCAGTGTTTCAGATAAACACAAGACAATTCAAACAGTTCAGTACATTTATAACCAGTGTTTCAGATAAATACTAAACAATTCAATTAGTTCTGTGTTTGTATCCAGCGTTTCATATAAACACTAGACAATTCAAATAGTTCTGTGTTTATAACCAGCATTCATATAAACATTAGACAAAATTCAAACAGATAATCATTAGAAAATTCAAAAAGTTCTGTGTTTATAACCAGCGTTTCAGTTAACACTAGACGATTCAAACAGTAATGTGTTTATAACCAGTGTTTCAGATAAACATTAAACAATTCAATTAGTTCTGTGTTTGTATCCAGCGTTTCATATAAACACTAGACAATTCAAATACGTGTGTTCTTATAACCAGAGTTTCAGATAAATATTAGAAAATTCAAATAGTTCTGTTATTAAAGTAAACATACTTTTCCATGCGTTTTGTAATCATAGTAGTAGAAGTTTGAATTATTCCTTGTTTGTTTGGAACAAAGCATGTCAGCAGTTTATACGTTTAGTTGTTGCCATTATGCCCTTTTCCCTAATACGCTTTCTTTCAACAGAGAACATAAGGATGGAAAACTGCATAAATTCAACATGTTTTGTCATTTCACGATGAAAGCACATATCATGACGTGGCTGCACAATTAACGTCATTACATAAAAAAAATCTTGTTTAATCATCTTCATTTCTTAATTTTATCAATTGTCCAAACATGATGTGCATATTAGAAATAGTTCGAAAGGCTTCATTTTCTTGGACCAACAATAGGCCTAAATACCCCTTTCCATGATAGTCTGAATTGTTTATGACTTTCTTAGGATTTTTCTCATAGTTTTCGTTTTCGGTTTTCGTGAAAACGGTTCCTGAATATATAAATATTTGTGCAACAGTACTGAAAAAGATACATACAAATATTAGATGCAATAATATCATACAGAAAGGTCAATCGGCTTGAATGACGTTATTGAACAATCACCGAATCGTCTATAACGCCGGGTGACGTAGCAATTTAAGCCTAGTAACATAGGGAACGTACGGGAAACTGCACGAACTTGAGTGTTAACCTATTGACACTGACCATGACCAATTGTTGTGTCGCATTATTTTTTTAAGTCTATAATTATTTTCTGCTCAGGGAGAGTCCTAGCGTTAAGTTTCTCCTGTTATGTTGATAAATGTCACGAAATTTTCGTAATGATTCTATTACAACAAGAAACAAATCTGAAAAAAAAACATTTGTCAAGCATGAAAAACTATATTTCATACACATAATTATTACAGTAGAAATTGTGAATGGTAACTTTGTAAAGAAAATATTGCAGTTCTTAGACAATAATGTCTGCTTTGATAAACAGAAATGATTACTTAAACCACCGTGGAATAAAGAGCTTTGGAATCATATCACGTTTGGTGAATTATATTTCCCTCTCATGACCTAAACATTCATTTTGAATTATTTTCTTATGATTAAACTGAACTCAAACATTGTTGTGATCGATTATTTGCACTTATCTATGTAGTGTAACTTACATTTCATGGACATTTTTGTATGATTGAAAAACATAGAAATAACATTAACTGAGTAATGGCTGCTACATGCATTTTCATTACGGTATCATGTAAATGTGATGCATAAATATCCTGTAGAGTACTAGACCTACACGATTAATGGGATGTTTAAGATATCTGACTCATAATTCTGACTCCGAGCCGCCCAGTCTTTCCTTTCTCTGTTAGATATACAGAAATATTAAATATATAGCAATTTATACAGTCGATAATTTTTAAAAAAGTAAGTGAGCCTGCCATTCGATAAAAAAAACGACAAATGTCCTTAATCCATCTGAAACTATTTCCATATCAAACGCGTGTCTCCGAAATAATCTTTTAAACGGTCACACTCAAGACCACAAGTTGAGAAGCCAAAAATATGTAACACAAGACATGGCCCAAACAGAACAGACAAAAACGTTTAACCTTACTATATGTAGCATAATATTAACTGTTTGTATTTGAAATATGGTATCTTTGTTATCTGTTGGGACATAAAGACAGACGATGTACTTCAAAGAAACATTGCTCTACTCCTTAAAGGTGCCAAAGTTGGAGAAATGTTTTAAATACTACCACCCTAAATTTCCTGATTTCGACTGGTAAGCTACCTTAATAGCGATTTTAAATTCGTTAATTGCACGCGTTTCTCGTCGTACATTAATCCGTTTCTTTGATGTCCAAAATTGATTGTAAAATAGTCAAATATTTTTGCACAATATCGAATTTTGAAGAATACAACTATTCCATCACGAAGAATTTTTAAAAGAAGTTTAAAAATATTTAAAAATCAATTATTGTTATCTTTGTTGTATCTTTGATCAATACAATGTATTATACGCATCTAATATTTTACTGTTTTTTCAGTGAAGAACTCGGAAAACATTTTGAAATCAGCTAATTGTATAGCCGACTATGCAATATGGGTTTTGCTCATTGTTCAAGGCCGTATGGTGACCTATAGTGTTAACTTTGATGTCATTTGGTCTCTGTTTGAAAGTTGTCTCGTTGGCAATTATACCACATCTTCTTATTCTTATATATATATATATAAAGAACATCCGTTGTTCGACCTGCTAGTCAAATGCGTTTTGTTAAAATATATTTTTTCACTCATTTGGTCTTTTGGAAAATGTTGTTTGTGCTGTATTTAGACCCCTCTACCAAGAAATTTGTTTTGCATGCACACGTATAAAAATTGCGGTTTTTATCCAACGCAATCATAGGATAGAACGTCGTTTTCAATTTAGACTTGTATATATATATATACAGTATTTAAAGTAGATATTCAGCTTTAACCCTAGGAATTGTAATTGGGTTTCTATTTTCATTTTATAATTTCAAACTATACAATCACGACATTAGAATAAAACATGTAAAGAAATAATTAATTATTTAGGGTCTGAGCAGCCTGATCAAGCGTGGGCCTTTATGTTAGAAAGAAAATACAGAATTGTTTCGGCCAATTTATATTCGTTGCAAATAGATACAAGTAACATAAACTCGGAAGCTCTTAATGACAATACAATTTAATGTAAAACAAACAGTTCGTTAGATCCACGTCATTTGTACTCTGGTGGATAATTGTCTCATTGGCAATCATACCACATCTCCTTATTTTATGTAGGATGCATGCATGCTTCAAACACAATAGCATTAACAGCATAGATAAAATCATTATAAGCACTGATAAGCATTATAAATCCTAAAGCAAATCTATTTTAGAAAAGACATGTAATTTAGATTATGATAAGCAGCATGTTGTTAGAAAATAAGCGCATACTGCAGTATTCCAGAAACCATCTTCCTTGTACAGTTGTGATGAAACTCATATAAAAATAATGTTTATGCTATTATGATGAAACTCATATAAAAATAATGTTTATGCTATTATTTAGGATATTTAAAAATCATTTAACGAAAGTTATCAAAATTTATTTTAATATCGTTTGCTGTTTTCTGAATCTTAATCTATAAAACCAAGAAAATGTCAATTTTGACTCTTAAGCCTAATCCAAATCAATAAATCTCTTTTTTAAAAATAATTATTCAACTTTTTTAAAGTGTAATAATTACAGTAATTACATATTTTACAGAACATGAGGCAGTAGATTTACAAAATAGTTTATCAACTATTGGAATATTCGCTGTACTGTACAGAATGGAGGAAGTGACATCGTCTCAAATAGATGCACTTTCGCAAAATGAACCGAACAGAGATCCAGATAGATTAAATTTTACAGTCTTATGCCGCCTTAGTTCATGTCAGTCATTTCTTGAAAAGGTAATCATATTCATCTATTGCGGTTATCAATTTTTCCTTTCGTAAATTATAAATTTTGTTTTAAATTTTACGGTAAACATTTTTATTCTCACCTAGACACCAACCTTATCAACTGCAAGCGAGGCGAAATTTCCAAATATTTTGAAATTTTTTATGACACCCATTGTGTTACATAGGGAATGGGAAAATCCGTTGATAAGTCACGGCTATGAAAACTGATTGTATCCGAGGTTACCTGTGACAAAGATAGTATATATATATAATACAATATAAAAAAGACATTTGAGTTGTAATGAGACATCCAATGTTTACAAATGAAAATAACACTTTAAATAAATCTCGGGCGTCCGAAGCGCTTTTCTTGGCTTATCCATCAGGAATGCTCAAATCTAACATTTGAAACCCAGGAATGTATACATACGTACTGAGAAATGTTAGGAGCTAGAACATACCCTATTCCGTATAGTAAGCTATACAAGGCCCCGGGATAACAAAAAAAGAAAACCAACGATTTAAGCTTATGACATTAAACGGAAATATATTATGGCAGACAGTTTCCAATGGACAACCACTGGACTGCAGGCTCCTGTTTTGGGTCAACCATATAAAGAATGTGGTGGGGATTGAACATGTTTGTGAGCACTCAAACCTCCCCAAATCTATGTAAGTCGCGCATTAGGACAAAATCTGAAGAAACTATGAAAATCATGTCCATGTCGTTATTACTCAGATCAAAATAGCTTTTTTTTTTATTTCAGCCTTTCGATTTTGGACGGAAAAACGTTTGGAGGAATTCCTTACTGTATTTTTCCAGTTGGTTAGTTGGTATATTTGACACAGGAAACTTGACGATCCTAGAAAATAATAGTAGTTGTGCGTTTGATAATATAGCTATTATAAAATATCCGACAATAATGTTGAAAAGTCAGCAACAACGGCAAGCGGTAAAAATTATACTATTCGTTATTAATCCAACTTACATATTACCACCTCGGTGGTTTAGTGGTAGCATGATCGTCTCGAGTGCGGAAGGTCGTTGGTTCGAACCTCGGCCGGGTCAAACTAAAGAGTTTTAAATTGATATTTGCTGCTTCTCCGCAAATACGAAGCTTTAAGGATAAAGAGCAAAAACTGGTCGCATCGGAATCAAATTAATGTGTCCGGGGAGGGTAACATGTCTTCTTACGGACTGTTACCGTGTGAACTAGCACGTGTAAAATCCGACTCAGTGTGTCTCTCTAGTACAATGCAGAGCTAATATTCATATTCAATTCGTCCTGATTATGGACATTAAACATCCATCCATCATCATCATCATCATCATCATCATCATCATCATCATCATCATCATCATCATCAATTTACATATTCGAATACATTAATCAAGTAAAATGTATATTAGAAAGAAGAAAAAAACTCAATGTTTACACATACTTCTCCATACAAATTAACTCTAAAACTGAGAGATACAATAGAAACATATGGGACTGCAAAGTTGATATTGAATTTTCACAAAATCAAATCATATTAATGTAGCTTTCAAATCAATGAACTTTTGAAATGGAGAAATGGCGTCAATTGAAACATGTGTTACATATTAAGTACTATTGTACGCTCTTGTGGACTGTGTGATTGTATAGAAGATCTAATAAATACCAGATCAAATCAAACCAGAGCGCTTCAACTCAGCAATTTCAATTGGTTAATATTCTTAATTTTACATTGGCGATCCAAAACTCATTTAAAAAATGATTAACGCTGTCATACAGGACTTTCAATACATTATTCAAGTCAAGTGGTCCAGCATTGAAGAGTATAGTTTCTGACTAGGTGAATATAATATCCAGTAGGGTTCAATAAAAAACCTTTTGGGCACTATCGCCTCAACGTATGCTACTAAATTCGAACATAATGAAATGATTAAGACCTGTCTCTGTATCAAACAAAATACCCTACACAGCTTTTATAATTGTTTTTTTTTACAATACATCAGTTAAGTTGAAAACGTCTATTGATCTTGTAGTATTTCTTATATGCCTTCAGGTTAAAGCTGCTGCTCATGATTGTGAATGGTTCCCAATCCAAACGTTGATGTGGCATAAAACAGGGCGTGGTTTATTGCAGATTGGATTTGTTCATTTAAATGGAAGCTTAATAAAAATAAAAGACATATTTCCGAATGTAAGATTTGGCTATAATCAAAGGAAAATTCTTGTCAGCACCCTACCAGTGAGTAAACTAACATTTTATGTATTGCCAAATAAATAACACAATCTGATAAAGTATGCACCACTATTTCACATTTGAATAATGTTTGGGGGATTAAGGGATCATTAGTTGTCTTTGGGACCAAATAACATTCATTTGACGTCCATTTTCTCTGAACTAGTACATATTTTTGTTTAGAGGCCAACAAAAGCCGGCCTCCGGGTGCGGGATTTTCTCGCTGTGTTGAAAACCCATTGGTGGCCTTGGGCTGTTTTCTGCTCTTTGGTCGGGTTGTTGTCTCTGACACATTCCCCGTTTTCATTCTCGATTTTATGTATTAGTCCCAGGTAGTCTATCATTATATTTCAAAACGTCTGTCACTCAGGATGACCCAGTACGATAAAGATAGATAATAACAGTATATAAATTTGATGCGTCCAAAGCGATTTTCTAGATTTATCTTCATCAACAACATTCAAAGACATGTACTTGAAAGCCAAGATGAATACGTACCTTATAGCCAAACCCATCTAAGTTCAACTTTGCACGAAGGAGTTGGAATCTTAGTTTCTTAATAATTTATGATAAACGGACAATTTTAGAAAGGTATATTTTAAATCATGTCGGTACCGAAGCACTGACTACTGAGCTGATGATATATTGGGAGATTTGTTGTCCACCAGCACCGGTAACACAGTGCTATAAAACATGAAAACGACACTTTATAAATTTGTTGCGTCCGAAGCGTTTTCCTGGATTTACCATCATCAGGAACGGTAAAAGCCGCATATTTGAAAGCCAATGATGTATAAGTACCAAAACACATAAAACGCTATATGACCAAAAGGAGCTAAACATGAAATAACTAAAATAGAGATAAAATTGAACAAGTATGTTTTAAAACTATTTTGTGGTTGAGACAAAGTACAAGCAATAACTAGACAAATGACTGTATGTTATATGATATCAACACATAATTACTGTCTTAATAGCAATTCAGGCTGGAAGCCCATTTTGGTGAACTTTTTGTTTTATATTTAGCATATTCGATATAAAACGAAGTGATTAACAACGAAAAAAATATTTAGCAAATAGCCGATAACAAATACCAATTAGCCACAGTTATTAACTGAATAATCAGTAAAACCACCTTTTGAACATCTCAGGCGAAATCAAAAAAGTATATCAGTCGTAATATGCGTTGGTACAGATCTTGACGACTCAACACATATATAATTCATACGTAGCAATCTCAGGGATAGTTATTAAGTCAAAGTTCAATATGATAGTGCCGTGTTGTTGGTACATTTAATTTCAACTTCCCTGAGGCAAAGGAATACTGAAGTGGTTGAGAGATTTCAAGTCACCGTTAAATCGAGTGAAAAAGAAAACAAACCCAGGAAAAAGAAAAGAAGATGATGATCAAAAAGTATTTACAGGATCACAACCTAAAAAGTAAATATTCCCCCAATCATGCTATGAATAATGATTTTGATAGCAAATGTTTATCATACATAAACTGCAGGTCTCTTTTGGAGAAGTACATCCAAGTTTTTTTTTCAATATTAGAAAAAATATATGTATTATAAACACGGTCCGGACAAATGGGAACATTTTATTATTTTTAATCACACTACAGAATAAGACAAATAAATTGAACATTTGTTCATTAAGTAAATTTTTGGATTTTTTTTTTCAATGTCGGACAAGTAAGAGTTAATGTTTAAAAGAAGATTTAAAATGAATTCATTCCTCTTAATTATCATTTATTTAAGATTACTTCATGTTGCTCATCCTCTGGGCACAGGTAAGGGACTGCGACTCGCTTTTCTTGTCTGTTTAGTGATTGTTAACATATCTAAAATATTTTGCGTCATACTCTTTTAAAGACCATAAAATGTAGGATAAAAAAATATTCTTAACCGACTGAAATGGGTTTTGTGTTGTGTTGTGTTGTGATATTTGCTTTTGTTTTGTTTTTTCTTTATCTCATCACTAAATAAATAATCCACTACATTAATAACATTATCGAACCTTTCAGTGGCCACCATTTGTTATACTGGATAACAAAACAAAACAGTATAGTGGAATAACAATTGAACTGCTGAAAGAACTGTCTAACAGTCTAAATTTTACGTATGTATTTTGACCATATTTGTGTTTCAGTTTTCTGAAGCTGAAACTTATATCAAAAACAGATATATTATTTGTAAATGAAGTAAGTTTTTACAACTTTAATTTAGTTTTCACAAATTTTAAGGGCTTATAATTAGAGATCAAGATGTTTCAACTATCTTATTTTACATATGTATCTGCTACAAGGAATAATATTACATGTTCCAAATACATTGTACTCTTTCCGGTTTTGTCGTATGCGCATATCTATTCACTATGCACTATTTTTTTTTGTGTTCAGAATATCATTCTATACAATGATTTGTACAAGTTTTGGCTTTAAATGAACTATAATACATTGATGTTTTACACTATTTATGATTTGGCTTCTTGATTCTATCTTGAAGAACATTGACCATTTTCTAAAAGAGAAATTAAGTAAGAAGGCATAATAACCTATAGTTGTTAATTTCTGTGTCATTTGGTCTATTGTGGAGAGTTGTCTCATTGGCAATCATACCACATCTTCTTTTTATAATTTATCAGCAACAAATAATTTCTTTTTTCAAACCAATGTCTTAGTTATATTTAGTTGTGTTCTGCTCCAGATACCCACCCTACACATGGTATTAGATTTTCAAAACGGGTGCACCACATAAGCAAGTGTTTACCTCCAGGCGGGAGAGGTCCAAGGATTACCATATTTCTATATCCTAGTCAACCCTTGGAATGAAGCGAGGAACATAGCCCTGTGTGCACCTCCAACGCTTCTATAACCCTCAATAAGTACAAAAACGAAGTATATTCGCTTAACTACATACTAATGCTACAAACATGAAATACAGTGTGACGTTGCCATTAAGAGCAAGTGTAGTTATGGATCTTACATTGTCTTGGAATACATCAACAGAATAACATGTAAGAATGGTCTTGGCAAATAAAAAAATCATTCTCCTGTCTCATCCTCTTAAATTGTCACCTTAGATTTTTGTTAAATCAATTTTAATTCTATCCTCCCTTTTACAATAAAGGTATGAAATAAAACCACCGCCGGACGGGAAGTGGGGTGTAGGATCTGATAATAACACGTGGAATGGGATGATAGGACAACTACAGCGAAGAGTGAGTAAGACAATATTTCTAAATCAAAAGTCAATTTTCCTCATTCAAAAGTTAGTTATTGGCTGTGTTTCAACAAGATAATCCTAGTCCTTTCTTTTTTCTAACAAAATTGATAATCTATTAAAATAGTATTTGCAGGCTGTTTTCATGAAATGTTCATCTTAATTCCAAATATTAATAATTTAAATTTATCTTAGATACCATGTTTCCACAGATTAATTGACGAGAAAATGCATTCATCAAACTAAGTATGCCCTTCCACACTTAATGTAAATGTAATATCGTAACTTTCTGAAGAATATTACCTAAATGGTAGCTCTTAGGTAGGTAATATGAAATTTACTAATAATGTGTCTACATTCAGGGCGGATTTAGAGTTTAATAAATGAAAAAAAAGGCATTTGCATGTATTGTTTAACACCGTATATTGATCATTTTTCATGTTTCTTTGCATCTATTGGTGCTGTCTCAGTAACGTTTGATCCATGTGTTTTTTTATTTGTATGTATACTATGACTAACGATAAGAAAGTCATCAGCACCAGAGCCTCTTTCATTTTGAACTTGAAACAGATCCATGGGAAAAAACATCATTATACATTCTGGGCTTTTCAATCAGGTATTCAACCAATAAAAAATAACAATATGAGCATATTTCGCTGTATCGTGTAAAACGTGAAGAAAAGGCGTTGACAAAGTTTGATAATTGCTTACATCAAAAGATGCACTTTCATTTTATTCTTCTTCAAATTTTGATCAAGACATGTGATAATATCGTAATCTAGTTAAGATAAAATGCTTTGTAAACCACTTGTTACAAAAATAAGTAATTGATTCAGTAGTCTCATTTCCAGGAAATAGATATGATAGCAGCACCTTTGGGAATTCAGTCACATAGGGAAACAGTAATGGATTTCACGCATCCATATTACTACGAGTTTTCTGCTATCCTTATGAAGAAACCTAACCCAAATGATACACGCTGGGCAACATTACTTGATCCTTTCAGTCCTAAAGTATTAATGTACATAGGAATTTCATTACCAGTTGTATCGCTTTTCCTGGTGGCATTCGAGAAGTATAACCCATTTTACGGTTACGTTCAGAACCGAATGAAGACTAGAGGACTTCATCACTTCTCAGATTCGTTTTGGTATATGTATGGTGCATTGCTAACTCAAGGTAAACTGTTATTGTTCTTATTTTCGAAATTTCAAATACTCAAAAGTTAAAATAATAAAAATAATTTCAGACTGTTTACATGAGCTTCAAGTTGAATGGATTTATTGGAAGGTTTTAATGAATCTATCAAACTCCTATAAATGGTAGTAAAGTAAATGAAAAAGTGGAAATATAAACACAAATGAATATTGGGTATCCTCCTCTACATTATGTGTTTTCACAGCACGCAAGACAGTGATACCTCGCTGAAATTACACTAGACGATAAAAAGAGTCGCCATCAATAATCTTACTCTAAGTAATATAGTTCATGCTACAGTTTCTTTGAATAGCACCTAAGCAGAAAAAAAAACAATGAACACCAGATCAGTAATGTTACGTTTACTGGACACTTAAATAGCCGTGCCATATTTACCGCCTCCGAGCTATCTTTCTGACTATTATTTCGCCGACCATGTGAACAAAACGGAAAATATGTTGTTATAAAACAAATGAAAGCATATTAGAATATTTTTGTAGCTTTATTCAATATGGTATTGAATTGTAAGGAATCATGTTGTGTTTTCTTTTCTTCTTTTTTATTTTTCATTCGTAACTGAAAAGAGATGTTTCTGTTATTGAATGGTATGAAATAAAGGAAAATGAAAATAAATATAACGTCAGATTGAAATCCATTCACATGCAGATATGAATTATAAGGATAATACAAATATGCGTTTTACTTTTACAAGTCAAATCATACAAAGAATTGTTTTTATTACAAATACATGTGCCTATATTCGTGCAAAAATTTACTAAAAAAGTATAACAAAAATACCTAACTCCAAGGCAAATTCAAAAAGTAAAAGTCCATAAAAACTGACAAAATCAAATACTATCAATCAACGGAACAAGTGAAAAACAACTGCCATATACCTGATTTGGTACATGCATTTTCCGAAGAAAATGGTGGGTTAATCATGGTGTTATAGCTAGCTAAACTTCCCACTTGCGTGACAGTTGTTTATAGTTACGTTATATTGACAAAATTGGGTGATCAACATTAACAGGTATCATAGGTTAATGTGGAATCAACCTGCGATATAGTTATATTTACTGGTATTTCAGCTATTTCTTTGATTTACAGGCGGAGAACATATAGCCAGGTCTTCGGCTGGACGAACACTCTTGAGTTTCTGGTGGATTTTTTGTATTATAATGGTGGCAACATACAGTGGCAACTTTGTGGCCTTTCTAACAGTCTCCAAAACAAAATTACCGTTTACGAATCTTGAAGGACTAGTTGCTCAGAGTTCCTATAAATGGGGCACAGCAGGGGCAACGATATATGAAACAATTTTCAAGGTACTCCCTAAAATGTTAACAAAAACCAACAGATAAAGACTGACGAAGAAGAAGAATTTTATTAGCTATATCTTTACAATACACGTGATACCTTCTAAATCTCATGCTTATAATTTTTACTTGTTTTCGTTTATTGCAGTCTCATTGTTTAAAAGACAACTTTTCCAAAATAATTTATAATTTTCATTTTGCTTCATTGTCAAACCAGAAGGTTATCATTTAAAAAAAATATTTTCATTTTTGAAGCGATCCCTTCGCCTTATTGCTGGCTAAATTTATTAACATGATATGATAATTATTCCTTTGAGTTTAAAAAATATAGCTAAAATTCCATAAAAGATGGAAGCGCCTGTGTATTAAAAAAAACCAACAGTACTTTACCGATGTTCAAATCTCACAAATCTCATAAATTGATAAAGGAGACAAATCAAGATAACAAACAAAAACTGAGGGAATCGTTTGGAATCCAAAAAGTGCCAGATCGGATGTGATGACAGGCTAAACGTCTCCTGTAATGAATATGAACAGACTACATTCCCGATTAAGCCTTTGAATCAACTCCAAGAAGATTTTTTGCAAATTTGATTTGACGTTTTACTGTTTCCATCGATTTATATTGTGATTCAAGTGATTGATGTTCTTCATAATATCAAATGGCCATAAACACTACAATAAAACATAACTGGACTAATACAAGAATTTAAAAGTTCTACACATGAAATTTACAATACTGATGAAAATTCCAGATGTTATAAATAATATTCCTTAGTATTTGTATTATGTGCAATGTTCAACCAATTCATTATCTAAGAAAATAACTTTGCAATTTTCTTCTGAGTTTATCAAATAAAATAGTCAAGATTGACCGCTAATTAAGTCCCGTTCGTCACCGTAACCATAGGCGGATCCAAGTAGGGGCAGCCCCCCCCCCCCTTTTTGTGGGAAAAAATTGGAAATCACTAGAGCATGACTGGAGCGGGTCCCCTCTTCGGCAGTCAGTGGGCCCCCCTTATGAAAATTTTTTGATCCGCCACTGGTAACCGTGTACCTTGTTTAAACTATATTGTGTAATCCATTTGAGGACTATGCTATAAGTACTGAGTCATTACTGTATGAAAGAAAGGACAGTGTAATGTCACATGATTACAGTACTTTTCAAATGGATGTTAAGTCATTTATATAAACAAAAAATAAGTAAGGGTTTAAAATACAGCTCTTTTATGTCCAAGCTATAGAAGGGGACATTTCAGTAATACCATCAGGAAATTTAAATGCAAATAGAATTTCTAATGGATCTCTTTTAAATTTCCAGAGTGCCCTTTATGTTATGTTTGAATTGTTTGTATTCCTAGTGTGATAAACGCTAACTTGAAATCAATGAAAAGGCATTTATTTAGATGATTTCAAAGCATTATCGATGGTTAAATACTTATAAATATTTTTGTTGAAAAAACGATAAAGAAAATAAAAGGAAGGAAAAAGAAGAAAAATCGAACAATTAACAGTCATGCATGTACTTTTTCCAAAAAAAAAAAATAATGTTTAAAACTTGTTCATTGAATTGAAGCGACATTTGAACAAGTTTTTTTCAAATTTTGGCATTTTTTCAACAGAATTCTGAGTTAGAAGAAAGAAAAGAACTTTGGCGTGGAATTATAACATTCAATGCGACTGATCCGTCCATATTAAGTAGTGATCCTGAAGTACATATTACAAAGGTATTAAAAGGAGAATACGCTTATGTTGCTGATAAAACATTCATGGATCTTGTAATGACGAACAACTGTGATTTAGCCATTGCTACATCCGACATTTTACCTGTCCAATATGCTATTGGTCTACCTAACAATTCTCCATTTGTTCAGATGTTCTCTGATGAGTAAGTATTTTACTGATATGCAATAGCAGAACAAAATGAAAATGAATGTAAATGTATTGAACAAATAAATAAATAAATACATAAATGGCAATAAGATGACAACCGAAGATGGTTATTAGTATCATACTTACTGAAATAACAATCATTTCAAATCAATGTTTATATATATATATATCAAAAGGAATTTTCAATGATTTAAAAGTCTTTGTTTTTAATGTGTTATACATAATGTGTTTAATAAAAAAAAAAGTCTAAATCAAATACGACACATTAGAGGTTAGGATTAGAACTGTTGGATAGATGAAAGACATGGCAATGTTGATACACCTTATTTACCACTGATATTCCAATTCAACAGCGAGTGATCCCTTATTCGTTCTGGTATCAGTTATTAATAACCACAACAGTTGACAACCAGAAGTGTCATAACTGGTAACAACAGTCATTGAATGCCAAGTATGAAAGCATTTACTGTAAAAATACAAATAGTCTCTGAGATCAATATCTTCCAAAACTGATACATTAAATAAATTATTTTGACAGATTATATAATTCGTTCAGAGAAAATGTCTTTTAGATATAATCCTCCCTTTCACACTCAAAACACAGGAAAACAAACATTTTCAACGGAGCATGAAAATTTAGTTAAGTTGGATGTATCATGCACAATCTCATATGAATACAATGTTTGGTTATACAAACAGTTAGTTACCTTTAAGATGCGGTTTACATAATGTTGCACACGTACAATTTTATACTGAATGTATATACCAAATATATGTAGCCCATCACGCATGATTGTTGCGAAAATAACATGGCCACAAACACAACATGGTCACTGGAGTGCTCAAAAATTGAATCAAATCTTACTAAATAGGTGGATGAAAGACGAATATTTACTCCGCACACTTAATTCGTATTACTGATGACCTTTCGGCACCAAATTAGAATAGGGTCTATTGACCCTTTTTGAATGAAATTGTTTATTCTCAATAAAAGAGATAATTTTATTTTGTCGATACCACTGCTTATAGACTGCTATTCCTAGATGGTAGCAACAACTAAGCAGTCAGTGCTCCTGTCGAAAATATCATGTTTTCTAGCAAAAATATCTATTCTGCTCAACCACTTATTTCTTAAAACTAAACTGTGAAACATGATGCAATCTGTATTTGTCTTTATTTTTGTTGATCTTAAGTTAAGAATATCGCTAATTCCACATAAAGGGTCGAACTTTCTATTGTAAAATATTCTTTATTTTGGTCGTTGTCTATCTCGTTTCAGAATAATTGCTATACTTTAAAGTGGTCTTATTCAAATCTGGATGATGCAGATCTGGCCTAGAAATGGGGTTTGTCAAAAAATGTCTGTCACAGAAGCAAAGACAATTAAATTAATTGATATACAAATTGCATTTTATTTGATAGGCATAGGAGTTGGTTTGGCTTGTTTATTACTATTGTACGAATTTATTAGAAACAGGTGCTGCAAATGGCTACGCAGGAGTGAACGAATACAAAGAAGAAAACCAGTCCAATATATGGGAACAACGCCAAATATAAAAAAACTTGTTTTCATCAAATAGCACTGATTCACCTATAAATAGAGCTAATTATGTCCTTTTTTGGTAATATAGCTGGCAATATCTGGTAACAAAATAGACAAAATGCAAATAACTGATGACCTTTAGACAACAAATTGAGGTCACGGTCAGGTGGCCCATTTTTGAATGAAAATGTCTATTCGTGGGATACCTTTTCAAAAGGGATTAGTCTTATAAGACGCTTGTCGTTACTGCTGAGGCTTGACTTGCTAGTCCCCGAGGGTATCCTCAGCTTAGAAGCCAGTGCGTCGACGCTGACACGATTTATAACAAATTTTCCTTAAATTTTCTGTTGATAAAGTTAGAAAATATTTTAAAAATAAGGATCCAACTCACTCATGTAAAGTTGACCTTAGGCGGATTTGGCTATTTTTTGAAGGTCAAAAGTTCCTCAAGTAATCATGTAGGTATACATTCTTTGCTTTCTAAAAACATTTTTTGTTCTTGGTGAATGTATATCCAGTAATTAAACGCTTCGGAAGTGCCAAATACATTAGGCGTATTTTTCATTTGCAACCGTTTTCAGAGTCAATGGAAAAGCAATACATTTTGTATTTTCTATAGAAATGATAAGTTTTAAAGTCGCAGGCGAGATGATAAGAGGAGGATTCAGCCGAGCACATCATCTTTTTTCTTCAAAGTATTAGATCGCTTCACTGCTTTTTTCTCTCAAAACTAAACGCACGTTGCAACCTTCATTTGTCTTGTTTTCATGATATTATGTTAAACTTAAGTTAAGAAATTCTCTTATTCCATATATAAGGTCAAATTTCATACTCTAAACTATTCCTTATTTAGTTCGTTGTCTATTTCGTTTCAGAATAATTGCTATACTTGAAAGTGGTCTCATTCAAATCTGGATGATGCAGATCTGGCCTAGAAATGGGGTTTGTCAAAAAATGTCTGTCACAGAAGCAAAGACAATTGAATTAGTTGATATACAAATCGCATTCTATCTAATAGGACTAGGTGTTAGTCTGGCTTGCTTATCGCTTTCTTACGAATTTATCAGAAACAAATGCTGTAAATGGCTACGAAGAAGTGGACGAATGCAGAGAAGAATACCAGTCCAATATATGGGAACAAGACCAAATATAGAGGACTTCTTTTCATCTAATAGCAATGATTCTCCGATGAATCGAGCTATTTCACAACAAATTGGCAATAGTTGGGCACATAACAGACAAACTGAATCAAATGTGGCTACTGTTTCACCTAGAATAGATGTGTATGCATTGGATGGACTGGTCGAATAAGAAAGAAAAATACAATTGTTATTAATAAACAAGTTTAACTCTAATTATGATCCGTTTAATGCAAAATATGATAGTAAACAATCTGTGTGATTATTTTCTTTAAGAACAGGACTTGAATAATGAATCAGCTATTTATCATTATTTAAACGATTCACATTCAGTTTGGCAGTTTTCATTGTCCGTTCCTCTACCCGTCTGATAGTTAAGATGTATTGCGATGCTACATAATTTCAAATTAACAATTGAGATGATGATTACAATTCACAATTATGTTCTCCCCTCATACATTTTTATTAATATCTTTAGGAAAAAGAGATACAATATAATAATGTCTAGCTGCTTTTAGTACATATTTTTTCTTGGAACGAAATTGCGTCTCATATCAATAGCTGATAAATACTACCTTTATTTCGAAGTCTTTAATGTTTCCATAATTTCAATAATTTTTAAAATGTGTGGTGTTATATATAATTACTTAAAACAATGTAAGACGCAGCGTAAACTTTCAATCAGCTGGACTTACGTGAGTAGGTATCTATCTAGGCAAAAGTAATACGAATACCGATGTGGCGTATACAGCAAAAGGATAGCAACCACACACTCAATCCCATACAAAATATCAACTTCCTGAAAAGTTTTAGATAACAAAGATCTACCTACCATCAACACATAATATACATATGTATTATAACGTTGTTGATGTATGAGTCTCCCAAATTCAAATTGATTCAGACAAAACCAAGAAGCAAGTCGGCCTGTACATGAAGAAAAGTTATTACAAACGGGATATCACATCCTCATTTCTACGGTGATCTTATTTAAAGAGCCTAATTAATTAGATACGATCCATGTAAACTTATCGATCCTTGAATGAACTTTTTTTTAAAGGTTATCAATTAAACACTTTTTATCGGATTTAACTGATTTTGTTTTTAATAATTCAGAATATGATTAATTTGTATTGCTAAAAAGTTGGAAGCAATTATGATCCCACATCCAGTATAGATAATTAAATCATGATGTCGCACAAGGTCATGCTTTTCTCAGTCTGTTTCTGACGTCTTTATAGTTATACTAAGAGATGCACTCTTAGAGATTGGAGCTTTGCATTTTTTTTCTTTTTAAATTGTTAGTTTATTGTCACTGTGTGGCTCTCCAAAGTCAGCAGCATGTAATTCAGTGTTTGGCGTTATTTGCTGTCTGTCATTTTTGTTTTTCGTTTTTTTTTTAATATTTTTAATCATGAATTATGTCCTTGGTTTTCTCTTATGAATTGTTTCATATTTTGTCATGCCGGAATTTTTAACGCTTGGTATACATGCACTTTTGGTTTTGCTAGCTGTTGAAAGCCGTACGGTGGTCTAAAAGTAGTGTAGATTATCGTCCTTTGTTGTTTGATGATGATCATGAAGATAATAATGAATTTGTATTTAACATCCAATGGCAAGCATTTATATCAGGACGAGAACATGTTAATGTGATATGAATATGAACCCTGCTTTATAGATAACCTTAGCCTTATTTGGCACAACCTTTTGGAATTTTGGGTCCACAATTAATGCTCTTCAACTTTGTACTTGTTTGGCATTATAACTATTTTGATTTGAGCGTCACTGATGAGTCTTATGTAGACGAAACGCGCGTCTGGCGTATTAAATTATAATCCTGGTACCTTTGATAACTATTTAAACCACTGGGTCGGTGCCACTGCTGGTGGACGTTTCGTCCCCGAGGATATCACCAGCCTAGTAGTCAGCACTTCGGTGTTGACATGAATATCAATTATATGGTCATTTATATAAATTTCCTGTTACAAAACTTTAAATTTTCCGAAAAACTAACTTTTGGCACAACTTTTTGGAATTTTGGGTCCTCAATGCTCTTCAACTTTGTACTTGTTTGGCATTATAACTATTTCATTTGAGCGTCACTGATGAGTCTTATGTAGACGAAACGCGCGTCTGGCGTATTAAATTATAATCCTGGTACCTTTGATAACTAATTATACTAGACCGACAGTTTAACTTGCGTGGTAGTTCGCAAGGTAACAGTCCGCTTGAAGACATGTCACCATACCCGGCCACACTTCTCTAACTGCGAGCGATCTAGTCTTTGTTCTTACTCCCGAATGCCGTGTGCTTAGCAGCAGAGACGATGCAAATACCAATTTTCAAGCCTTTTGAATTATCCGGTCATGGCGCTAACCCACGACCGACCGCATTCAAAGCGAACATGCTAGCACGAGACAACCTTGAGGCTTCCAGTGTTCTCAGATGGATAGTTGTCTCATTGACAATCATACCACATCTCATTTCAAGAAGTTCAAAAATCTCAGAGGAATTCATACAAAATCTCGTGTAAATAATTTGATATACTAAAATAATAATTTGAATGGATGATTTTATGATCTATTCCGAATTACACTTCAAATTTTTTGCTGCTTGAAATGGTTTTTCCAAGCAAATATTCTGGTTTGCTTAAACGTAAACATCTTCGGTCATATGGTGGAGACTTCAATAATTTGTTATTAGTCTAATTGGAGGCTAACATTACTTGTTTGATCCTCCATTGGTTTTTTTAACCTCTTTTAAAAGTGAAACGATTACCATTTGGCTTTCTACAGAGACATACATATTTCGATGGTATTATAAAGACAGATGACAAATTTGTTATGATAACGTGATGATGATGGGGATTTTTAACGACCTTGACTGGCTATACAGCTCTCGCACGGTCGGCCTTGATAACGTGACAATTTTGTTTAGGCTTATAAGTGTAGGTCATTGTGTATTTTGTTAAGGTTCAAGGATCATGGTATTAATAGGTATGTTGAAAATGATCGATGGAGATCTAGTTTTACTGGTCATTTATGGATGAACCTGTTTAATCATTTCAATTGGATCTGCAAACATTGCTTTACACTGTTTGCCTGGGTTCTATGGTGCATTATATTCTGCATGGTCATTTATGATAACTGTAGATTGGGCCAACAAATATACTTTGAATAGATCGGCCCATAAAATTATAAATTGTTTCAGAATTTTATTTTCCCACTAAATGATAAATGCCTTTAAGAAATGAATCTTAAACCAATGTTATGTAAACCATTATGGATATGTGTCCATATAAAACATAATACCCACTACTTTAGTTCGAATTCTAATAGCAGTTCTGATAGCGTTTAAGTCAATCAAAATTCTTTGGTAAGCATTTTGGATAGTATTTTTTTTTTGTCTTAAATTTAAATTTCGAGTTCACAGCTTAAATTCAAGGTAAACCACCTACACATTGCTGACATACCCTATCGCACACCAATAGATTTTAAAAGTTATCAACATTCACAGCTTTCATAGATTTTAAAAAAGCGTATGATACTGTTAGTAGAAAATTATTGTTTTCTAAATTGGATGATTTAAGAATTAGTACACATTTTTTATGTACATTGAAAGCTATATATTCACATGTAGAATGTTGTATTAAACTTAATGGTAATATGACAGACTGGTTTAGCGTTAATTCAGGTTTAAAACAAGGATGTGTATTATCGCCTGTTATGTTCAATATTTTTATTAATAGTTTAATTGATGTAATAAAAGCACTAGACATTGGTGTAGACATTGATGGTGAAAAAGTTGGTATACTTTTATAAATATGCTGATGACATTGTATTTATTGCTGAAAATGAAAATAATTTACAGACTCTATTAAATGTATTAAGTAGTTGGTGTGTTACCAATTGCATGAATGTGAACTTAGATAAAACTAAAGTTATCCATTTTAGGAACCCTTCGGTTCAACAAACATCTAAATCTTTTTTGTTTAATAATAATACAGTACAAATAGTATCTTGTTACATATATCTAGGTCTACTGTTGACAGAATATCTCGATTATAATGAGATGGCTAAAGCTGTAGCAAGGTCGGCAAGTCGAGCTCGAAGTTTATTGATTGTTAAAAGTAAAGCACATGGTGGTTTCCAGCACAGTACCTTTACAACATTATTTGATACTCTGGTCTGGTCAGTCATAAGCTACGGTGCATCCATTTGGGGCACTCGTTCATTTTCTTGTATAAACGCTGTCCAGAACAGAGCTATCATGTTCTTTGTGGGTGTTGGCAAGTATACGCCAAATGATGCTATTAACGGGGACATGGGCTGGAGACCACCTAGTGTAAAACAATGGATATGTATCTTTAGGCACTGGGCAAGATGTAGTGTCATGACCAATGACAGAATAAATTATAATGTTTTCAAATGATCACATAAAAATGCTGTGAATAATAAGAAAACTGGTGTAATAGAGTCATGAAAAAACGTAAAGATTGTAATTTTGAATTGTATGCTTGTATTGATAGTGTGCTGCATAAGAATATTGTTCTACAACTTGAAAACGTTTTATTTAATAAATATATTGCAGAATGGCAAACGAAAATTTTTTCACAGGGTAATGGTAACAAGCTTCGTACTTATAAGCTATATAAATCACAATATTGTACAGAGTTATATTTAAAACAAAATATGTCTATTAAATTTAAAAGTCCTTATGCAAAATTTAGGTGTGGTGTTGCTCCACTTAAAATAGAAACAGGACGATATGAGAATAAACCAATAAATGAAAGATCTTGTTTTATGTGTAAAAATGAAATTGAAGACGAAAAACATGTATTTACTTTATGTCCTTTATATGCAGACCTTCGAAATATATTGTATAGTGAAGCAGTAAAACATAATGATCAATTTTATAACTTGTCTAATGACGAAAAGTTTATATTTTTATTCAGAAATGAAGAACTATGTCAGGTAGTTGCTAAAACCTGCTTTAATATTTTATGTAGAAGAACAAATTTCTTATTTGTATATAGCTGATGATGTATTTTAAATCTTAGATAATATATAGTTTTAAAATTATGTTAAATATTGTATATAATTAATCATTTAATAGTCTCTCATAATTCTTAATAGAATGGCGCTTGTATATGTTTTAGTATTTAAGCTAATGATATTTTACTGTTAGTTTTAATATACTATATGTTTTATATATGTTTTTCAATATTTTATGTTATACGCAATGTTTTATATGTATATTGAAATGTATAATGTTATACAAGTGGTGAGACTTTAATAAAATATTGAATCTGAATCTATAAATTACCTTAATAATTCTCAAGAACAGGTGCTCTGATAGTATTTTCAATTAGTTCACTACATAAGTGTTAAAAATGTGTAGATGCTAGTTCCAGGCATTTCACTTAAGTGTAAGGACTTAATTTACTTCATACTGTAATATTTAAAGGTTGATTTCACAGTCTTTTCAAGTATTTTCATGTTGCTTCATTATAATGAATAAAACAATATACTGTAAAAACAGAAATGTAAGTTGAAGTTTTAATTTCATGGATAGATATTATCGACGAAATTTAATCTCCAAAGAAATATTTATCTACAAAGAATATTAATTTCACATACTGGAAACTATGAAAACTATTCCCAGTGAAGTAAAATTTAGAGACAAAACCATAATAAAGTTTCTACAGTTTTGCAAGTTTGACATGAATAATGATTAGATATTATATTTTAGCTTTTTATTAAAGGGGCATTAGCTATACGAGGTATTAAACAAAATTTGATATTTTTTGTTCAATCATTAATGAAAGTGAAATAGTGAAATAATAACTCGCTTTTATATTTTATAATAATTCGGAATATGACAGTTGTTGTCCATTCTTTTGATGTATTTTATCATTTGATTTTGCCATTTGATTAGGGACTTTCCGTTTTGAATTTTCCTCGGAGTTCAGTATTTTTGTTATTTTACTTTTTAGCAGCCAATTTGGTTCAATTTTGCCATAATAGGCTAAGAAACATCGCTGATGAATTATTCACTTGCAGGTGAATGATTCGACCTCATTGAATCCATATTCATGTGACCTTCAATTTAGCCCCTAAGCTGGTTACGCATGTATTCGGCTATTAAAAGGGAAAAGGATGTCAACATTGAAAGTGGAACAAGGATGAACAATTTGGTTGACTGATTCGATCCACTAAAAATCATTCTTATACAGGTAAAAACGATGATAGACATACTTTTTAACCTACAATATGAAATTAAACAGACCTAGAAAAATCCAATTGCACGTCGTCGCTATCTATTTGTATTTATGTTTATATTGGATTATATGTCCGTCAGACATCTTCGGAGGTCATCTCAATGACGTCTAGACAAAAAAAACACACGAAATGTTGATACATATTATCGAGTCCATGCATTGTTAATTGTTTATTTTAGACTCACTTTTAGTAATTTGGATAATTATACGTTTTAGTTTGTTATAAATCAAATATGAGAATATGAGTCAAATCGATGGACATGAATTTGACAGTTAATGCCCCTTTAAGGAAAAGGGACAAGTAAAATTAGATAGGATAGTTCTTGACTTATCAAAAACTATGCAGGCGGATACTCGGTTGAAATTAAACAAAAGAAATGGAACTCTTTATTAGAGAAGGTAAAAAAGGCCAAGTTATTATATTTGAATTGTTTACATCTGTTTCTATGGGCTTTAAAAGTTTAATGAAGGTGCATAATTTACGATTTTATGCATCTTTTATACGTGTTTTACTTACATTATATTATGGAGCTTCGAGATATTTGTAAACTTTGAAATTAAAGATAAATTACATGTTGATCTTTTTTGTGCATATACATAAATTCGGCCGAAAAAAATCCGTAGAAAATTACAAGATTGATCTTTTAACAGCATTAATTTGCATCTCTGCCCCCGGCGACAGTTTTTTTTTTTTTTTTTGAAAAAAATCCTTAAAATGGGCAATATAAAAATTATTCGATTATAATTTCATCGAAAAGAGAAAGTTAAGTACACCTTTTATGTTTAGGCATGTTTGTGTTTACTATTTCGTCTTGAAAGCAAAAATATTTGATACATCATATCCCTTCATATTATTTTATTTTTATATATTTAGGCTACAGGTTGACAAATTAACATTAAAAATTCACAGTACCAAATTTTAAATATATGGGTCAAGTGAAATACCTTTCTAATGAGTCATGATAACAACAGAATAACACATTTTTACTAAAAGTACTCAACGTAACAGACTTTACAAGTGGATCTGAAAAATGCATAACTTCAAAAAAGCTTCATTTTTTGTGTGTGTTATCTAGTGTTATTAGTCTTCAACCTGTGAAAATTTTTAGTCTGCCCTTCCACGAAATATTTAATTAGAATTTTTTTAAATATTTTTGAACTGTCGATAATTCCCTTGACAACCGATCAGACAATAGTTTTGAAGTTTACAAAAGACATAAAAGTACATTAAATGATGCTCAATAGCTAGTAGATACATTTGTCTTTTTAAATACAACTGGCATATAAGGATCGTAATAATGCTATGTGGATAAATTTATTGGTTTTTAAGAGCTAAATTGACAGCGCGTCATCCCTACAATGGCCTCCATTATTACGATTGTAAAAATTAGGTGGTGTAATGAGGAGGTAATTTTGACGAAGTAGAATCCTGACTGTAAGGCAATAAGAGAGATCTAGAATGCTAGTCATCACTTTAATACAGCAAAGAAGATAAATATACAGAAAAATTCTAAATAGAGCCCTACATCAAAGCTGGATCCCTATCTTTTTCAGAGTGCCTTTTCATCCAAATATTTTTTTATCACCATTTCTCCTACAGTATGCTTTGCAATTGAAAGAACATTTACATAATTGTTTGATATCAAGTTGAGATGTCATGTCTTATTTTTTTTTTTTTTTTGATAAGTCCTTGTTGACTTATTTGTCTTTCATCGTCAAAAACTTAGATCATCAACATTTTTTTGTGAACACTCCAGTCATATAGTTATCAGACTTTTGACTAAATCTGGTATAGATTTGTTAACCAGAAGCATAATATTAACAGGTACATGTGACTATCATAGAAACAAACTTTTAGTCTTGAAACAGACTGAGGATTTGTTCAGATAGGTTTTCTCTTCATAAGGAATGGCAAACAATCAACAACTGACCACCTATATAACTCTAATAAATTAATAATTATAAAATCATTTCATCACCATATCAATGACAGAAAGCTTAAGATTTTATGGAAATTCTCTGTTATTGGATGGACAGCATTGTATTAATAGTATACAGCTTGTAATGAATGCAGAAGATTTGTTGTCCAGACATCAAAATGTGCAGATTTTCGGCTTGATATAAAAACTTGAGGTTTTGTGTAATGCACTTGTCTATCAGAGTGAAATTAAAGTAAAACTGTAATCTTTATGCTATGAATTCTATAAACACTCTCCAATTCATTTTGATTCTATTTGACACATAAATTTATCATAGGCTTTTAAAAAGTACATCTCTGAGAAACAAAGAATGAAAGGTATGACATGTATGATGGTGGTGTATCACTCTTACTAGTTACAAATCTCTTCAAGAAATGTATGGGAGAACTTTTGTTGTTGATAAATAAGGACAATAATAACAGAAAGGAACACACATAAACAATGTTTCATATTTTATATAAAATATTTATCACAGATATGACATCATAATTACATATGTAATACAATATGACAATGAATAACAAAATTGACTTAAAAATATTATTTTCCTGGTATGGAACATGAATGATTCTTTTAGAAATTTCAGTGAAAATATTTAAAGAACAATCATATTTTTGTGAAATAATCACAACTCAAAACAGAGGGCATAAAATGTAAGATAGCACTGAAAAAAAATAAGGATTCCATTAAAAATTATCTCAATACAAAATATGATAAAATTGGCAGGAATTGTACATTTAATCTACTAAATATATAACAAAAACATTAACATTCTTAAATAAATCTTTGAACAAATATATATTATTGGTCTATATAAAGAGTTCTATATGTTCAAAATAGTTAATCTTAGAAATAAAAGAAAACTTTCATAAAGTTCTCACATAAGCAAGAATCATATTCCTTTTATTCATAACTAACAATTAATTTCATCAGTTCTTAAAGTTTGTTTACAGAAATCATTTTTTCTATAAGAGCAGTTCTCCTGGAGAAATCCAACAATGTCATCTCAATTATCTCCCCTAGCAGGACATTATTTTCAAGGTTTCCATGTGATCACTTTGACAGCAATATTGGCAGCTTTCACCACAGCAGGAATAGAATCTGTTGTTCTATTTTTTATCTGTAACATGATAATTTTAAAGTTAGGAAAATATCAAACTTAAAATAAGGAACTACATTTAACTGATTGATATGCACTTTGTTCAGAAGTTTCATTTTATCTGTCAACCAGTAAACATTTAGATATTATTCAAATTTTTTATACTGAGAAACCAATCAAGTAAGTCTTTAAAGCGAAAGTAATTTATTCAATATTTTTTTATTCTACAAATGATAAAAAAGGAAAATATATATAATATTGTGATAAACTGATGTTTGTTATAAAATTAAAATTAAAAATCAAAATATAAATACCTTTTCCACATGTTCTAATAATACTTTTCTTCCTTCTGGTGCTTCTGATAAACATGTCAAAGCCTAAAAATAGAAAAAAAAATAGTTGAATGAAAAGTACTGATCATCAACAAAAACTTTTTTAATGATAAAATACAATAATCTTGACATTTTGATTCTGGATTTATTAGAAGTGCACTTCTCTGTAGAAAATTAAAATGAACTACATCAAACTAATTGTCCCCACACATATATCCTTTTATCAATTAGGTGTTCAGAATATGTTGCAATTTCCAACCAAATAGCTTGTCTGCAAGTAGGGTTGGTACATACTGTGAAAGAACTTTAATAAATAGTTTCTAATTTTTCGGATTTTTTGGACAAGTTTCTGGTTCGTGTATTTTTTTTATTCATGGTTCCAGGCACTAGGAGTAGGAATCAACAGAACATATCTATTTAATTTATAGCAAAGACCTTTATAACCCATAAATTTGAAAACTTATACCCAAGGAATAAAAATACTTCAAACCTATTTCAGAGAAATAAAATACTATGTAGTCAAAACAGAAGTAAATAATTATATTCTTGGTTCTTTGTCTATAGACTACAATAATCTCCATTTTCAATCATTATCATTGTTGACTGATTTTTTAGAAGAAAAAAAGGACCTCGTATGCCAAACAATGAATACATGATCCAGATATTTATGGCTGTATATTTCTTCAAAAGTTGAAATCAAATTAAAATAAATGGGAGATAACTCTACCTTTAATGCATTCAGTCGAACTTCACTTTTCTCATCATCTACTAAATCTACCAATGGTTGAATTGCTTTCCCTTCATTTATTGCTGTGTATTTTCCTTTTGTTGTAATTGTTATCCTGTAAATACATAAAATAAAAATGGATCTTCTTTTGATGGTGGTGCATGATAATAGTAGGATATAATGTTTGGATAACAAGGACTAAAAGTTGGAAGCTTAGAATTTGTAAACAAGATCATGCATCTTACAAAAACCATGCAACTTTTATAGCTGACTACATGGTATGAGTTTTCCTCATTATTGAAGGTCTTACTGTGACCTATAATTGCAAACATTAACTTCATTTGAACTATGGTGGATAGTTGTCTAATTGGCAATCATACCACATCTCCTTATTTTTATATCCTCTACAGATCTATGGAAAACTAGCATTGTATAACTTACATCATAAGTGCTCCTGCAGCATTGGCCCTGACATCAGCATCTTTATCCTTGAGAAGTTTGACTAATTCTGGAACTGATTTTACTTCTACTGCCTTATTTTTACCATCTAAAGGAACACTGTAAGTTAATTAATAAATAAATCGGTTAAATAATCTGTATTATAACTGGCCACACATAGGGTAACAGGACTAGATTGTTCTTACAAAATCAAAACAGGGTAAATTTCATGGTAAGATGCCAACTGTGAACATGATAAAATAAGATACATACAAAAGTTTCCTGACATATAGAATATTATGAATACTTTAAGGCAATTTATGTATATACAATTGTAACTTCTCAGAAAACGGATGGTATAGTAAACAAATTTACAAATACAGCTGGGTTGGTAGTTCTTCTTAACCAACGATTTCTTGATAATTTTTCAAGTATAAAAAAAATTATCTTCTCTTCAATATTTTTATGAGATTCTTCCTTGCCCGTTTTTTTTAATCAGATTTTATGATATTGAACTTTTTCTTTGAACTAAAAATAAAATCTTTACATCTTTTCACTGATAAAAAAATTGAATAAGCTCAACAAGGTATTTACTTCATCAAATAACTCAATAATATATGAAATAGTGGTAACCTTACCTTAAATTCATTATATCTCTGGAAGCTTTGGCTCTTATTACAGGTGAATTGTGTTCTAAAAGTTTTGTAAACATTTCCATAGCTCCAGCTTTTAATGCTTGTTCTGTGTCAACTGCCATGCAAAAATGAAGTGTATCTAATATCAATATCTGAAAATAAAGATAATTTCTGTGAACTGAAAGTGAATAAAGAATATTGGTTTTTAAATACATTGGTAAAATAATCCAAAAAAAATATATTACTCAGAATAAGGTATGCATCATGATCTAAGAGACATTTGTCTGTAAATTAATAACAATAGAAACAAATGTTTTTATATCAATTTTAAGCTTAACCAGGGTCAAGATAAAAATTTATGTTCATTGTTTTGTAATACTGCGCTCTTTGATAACTGTCCCATAGATATAATATGCATTGCAATCAAAATTGGGTTTAAAGAACAAGCATACAATTTAATTTTAACAGAAATTGATCTGAACATATATAAGTTATCATAATTTAAAATTATGAGATAACAATGTCCAAGTTCTTCTAAGATTAATGTTTCGGATCACACAAATACATAAATGCAGAACTATAAAACATAAATCGTAACACCTTGTGTGAATGTTTCAAGTATTCAAAAGCTTATAACATATCTTCAAAATTTTGAAAGACTCAGTGACTGTTATGAAATGTTGTTCACTAATTAGCTCTTTTTTTTATTTCATGTGTTTTTAGAATATTGATTATTTTGTTTTCTCTAATTTTGCATGCATCTAAACTGGTTCTTATCAGTTTAATAATTTAGAAATATCATGATAAATATGTCAGGTGTAATATCTTGCCATATCTATTCAGAACTCTACACAAGCCATTTTCCATCCAATCGTTATAAAAGCTGATTCTACCAAATTACCTTAATCACTACAGTATTTATCAACTCTCGATGAACAAATTTTCAAATTTGAACTATCTGGAGGGGATAAATATCTGAATAAAAGTGTTGGGTGTGGTATTTATATGTACCATTACAGCAACTACTTTTAAAATACTCACTTTTATTTCTTCTGTTTCTAAAGATAATTTTTTTACTAATGTCGGTACTAATTTGGCATTTACTATTCCTTGTGCCCCTGAAATTAAACAAAAATATTGGGTGAACAGAATTAAAGTTTACAAATAAATTTAACTGTTTCAGTGTTTGCTCATTGTATTAAATCATTTTGAGCAAACCCAACTTTTGTTTTAACTGGTTAGAATCTGTCAATTTATGCTAATGAATATGAAACTTTCATTTTGAATTTGGATTTTATTATACTGGGTATATCATGTTTCCTTTTTCAAAATTATTTCACTATTGATCTCATTTTTTATGTCTTATTATGCTAATATACTTATTGACATAATAACTTTATAAGTTACACTGAAAAATTCACACTATATGTTATACATAAGAAAACATGCTGGAACCTTTTTATGTTAATGTGGACTGTATTTATGTTTGGTTTTATTTACCTAAGGGTGTTTCAGAGATCATTTCTATTGCTTGGTGTGCATTTCTTCTCGCTACATCTTCCTTATCATCAAACAGTTTAGCTACTGGTTCCACAATTCCTTGTGCTAGAAATGAGTCTCTTCCAATTGCATGTCCTATAGCAACAAACAAACAAAATATGAATTTACTGAATTTATGCATAGCTGTTTATTCCTTCTACAAATTTCATATAAAAAATAAACGTGATTAAAACATTTAAGTGACATTCTCAACTGAAAAGTAAGGTTTGAAGAAACTCAGCCATCATTAAGTTTATCAGTTGAAATAATTTTGCATGTGGCTTATAAATGGAAACCTGGGAATTCTATTTACAAAGTTCAAACACACTCAGTAATTAATTTATTATAAAAGACATTTATCTTTTTAAAGGTCTATTAATCTTTAATGCAATAGATTTTATAAATGAGTCACAATCAACATGAAAAAGGATCTTTTCTCTACAAATTTTTGCATTAAATTACAGAGGTACTCTCATCAGTTTTGACATAACTGCAACTTAATATCAATATCATAAAATTACATCTGTTTCATAAGATTCCCTTTTTTTGATTGACTGGGGCATTCCAAAAGTAATTTTCTGTATAAAAAACATCATCTATGACAACACATGCTCTCCATGACAACATTTAAATGATGGATAGAAAAACAAATGAAAGGCTTGATTTAACTCGTAATTTCATGGTTGTACATGTAGCATAAAAATATTATTATCAGAACTAAATGCTTCTTTTTGCATTTTTTTAGGCTTGAAAAAAATGTTGAACCTGCACACATTTATAGTACATTGAAGGGCTTCTTGTTATTCGACAGCTTAGATTGTGTTAAAGGCATCTAATTTATTTGAGAAAATAAGAATATTGTTGAAAAATCTTTTTATAAAGGCTAACTCTCTACTACTACATGTTATAGCAATTTTACTTCTATATTAATGTCATAACATTATTTTTGCAATGTTTTAGAACATTTTTTATGAATATGTATTAGCACAGTGGTGCATAAAAAATCTCCTTTGAATTTTGAGGTACATGTATCATGTGTGTTTTTCATATGGGAAATGCATTATTATTAACTATGATTACACTAAACACACCTCCAATTACAAACAAACACTCTGTAGCTTTTTGTCTAACTGTAAGATCTGTGTCTGATAACAGTTTCTTCAAACTTTCAGCAGTGCCTGTATAGATAAAAAAAATCAATTGATCAATTATCATTTAAACAGACAGGCAAGTGAAAATAGCCTATAAAATCAATGTCATTTCATAATGCAATAAATGCTTTATTTTTTTTCTAAATTAAACAAAAAAAGTTTTTCTTCCGGTTTGAAACTTTTCATCCTAATTTATAATATTTGCTTTAGTTTTTACATTCTAGGTACAGCTGAATACACATGATCACAGTTCAATAATATATTTTTCATGTCTTAAAGGTTATAGGTAATATTTGAAATATTTATAATACTTTTGACAACAACTTATAAATCACACAAATTTGGATTTTTGTTTTACCAAACTGAGAATTAACCTCTTATGCAAATAAGACCTTCGGGCTTCCTAATAGATACTTTTTGCTAACTTTTCTAACTGTGGGCATTACATGTCTATCCTTTCTTTTAAAACTTTTAAATTTTGTTCATGAGTTTTACTCGAGAACTTTTAAGAAGAAAATGTACTAGCTTTGAATTTATAATACAGGTACATATACTAACATACCAATGGCTAGAGCTTCTGCTATATGTTCAGGGTCATGTAGGTAGTCACATAATGACATTACCGCCCTCTGTCTGACAAGTAATGTGGAATCATTTAGTTCTCTGTTCTAAAAGTAAAAAATGTCAATATTTTAACATGATAGTTACTTATTTGTTTGTTTTCATTGTGACAAATATTTTTTTTGTTTAGAATTTATTTTCAATAAATTTTTTGAGATTTCATGTATACTGTTTGTATGTTTGTGACTTTTTATGTAGTATGACTTTTTTTGATAACAAAAATATTGAAAAATCAACCTGATATTTTTTGCATACATGAAGGATTTTGTAATTTGCTGTGAAAATAATTCTGTCCTGTATATATATAATAATTTGTTATAACACTTAAAGACATTATATAAGTATTTGAAGTGTAAATCAAGTGATTTTAAATTAAAAACGTATTATTGACCCATACATGTCATTATTTTCCCTCTGTGAGCCTCTGACATTCTTTAAGTGTTCTGTATAGTGTAAGACTACGTCACATAGAAACGTTCATTATGATGGCGTTGTTGATGTTTCAATTGGGGAAAAAAAACCATTGTTAATACCCCAGCAGTTACCTGAATATATACTGACATATCTGTGTTGTTATCCAATCACAAAACTCAACACATTGGTAATCCGTAATATATACATATATATTGTCAGATCATATGTTGCTGTACGTCATATGAATTCATACTATGCATGTTTTTTCAATTGCAATTGTGACGTCACAATGCATTCTAAATAGCACGAAAACCCATAATACGAGGATAACAAAATTAACATAGACCTCAAGTCATCATAACATGTGTTTGGATATTATAAGGGGACGAAGTCCCCTATAACAGTAGAAAAATCAATAAAAAAAAAAAAAAAAAAAATCGGGAAAATTTCCCGAAATTTTCATTGTACTGCTGAACTCAAAATCGTTAACTTTTTTTTTGTAACTTTTTTTAATTCCCGCATTTGCGCAGAAATCTACTTCCTTCTTCCGGTCTCGTTTGTCATGAGACTTTGAGTGAAATATATATTTATCAGTCCAGTAAAATATAGGAAGGACAACAATAACAATTTCATTTCTAATTATTCTTTGATATGAAAAAACGTTACCTGATGATAGCGTTTCTTTGTTTACATTGAATATGACGTCATAACTAAAATAACGTCACAACTAAAATCCCTAACAACAGAATCAAAATCGGAAACATTACGGTATTTCCGTTTCTTTTTTAACAGATTTAGAACTTAAAATATGTTTGAATTAAAAAAAATAATTTATATAGACTTCGTCCCCTTTCACAGGTAATGCCTGCCTCATATTAGTTATCATTGACAATCAATATCAAACAAACGCTGAAACAACAAAAGCACTCAATGATTAAATTTATGCAATACACACTTGGAACATGTTAATTGATAAACTAATCCCTTATTCATTTATCAGATTAAATCCAATATGAATAAAATAAGAGATACACAATAAAATTTACCAGTCTGGGAACTGCTCTGTCTCCATAAGCTAATGGTGTTCTTGTTGGATCAATGTGTGGAGGATATTTGGCTGAAATAACAGTGTGTGCCATTTTCAACGGATGTTATCATACAAACAACCAAACTGTTACAAACAACCTGTTTATATTGACCAACTTCCGCTTGGTGGTAACTATGGTTTGGCGCATGTCGGAGCGTGTTCAGACAAAGCTAGGAAAAAATAATAAATGTTTGATTATGTTTATTTGCTTTAAATAGTGTTATTTCTTTATAATGAATTAATTACTGAACAATTAATTGATTCAATGATTAATTAAAATGGAAAAGGATTAGTTTCGTAAAAAGAAAAAAAAATGGCCTGCAGCGGGAAGATTTAAAAAGTGTTCAAAACCCTCTCTGTATAAGTAATTTGAATAACCCAGATTGATTATTTTCATCCCTAGAAACAGGTCAACTTTGTCTGTCTGATACACCAGACACATTTTCCCGTATAGTGTGTCAAGGTTGCTAAATATGATGTCTCAATTAAAAAATTTTCCTAGATTATAGATAACAACTTGCATACATCATGTACATGATACTGATAGTGTAGACTGTCCCTGTAACAAGGAGGCTTATACGCATACTTAAAACAAGCTCTATATTGAGCACTTGTCTATATATAGAAAACTTGCAACTAACAGTCAGGGGTGCTACTTAAACAAGTGATTTCATCATCACTTATTTCAGTGATTTGATAAATTCAGTTATCACCTATTTAAGTGATTTTAGTGTTTTCTTTGATCTTCAAATGCTAATTTCATTTATTTTCCATATTTTCACAATCTTTTCTATAATTTTCCTACATAAATCAATTATCCCTTTTTCTTTGTATATTAATTTCACCAGTGCGCTTGGGCAGTAAGTTAGTGCGCTAAAGCTTTTAAAAGTACCCTTGGGAATTTTTCTGTAATCAAAAATTCATTAACTACTCTTACTATCAGACAAAGATCAACAATATTAGGTAACCTGATTGGTTTTCTTTAGAGTTAGAATGATCTACTTCAAGGTTATGACCTGATCTACAAACTATTCCAGTTTTTGCATATTTTAAAAAAACTGTAAAAGTGTCAGGCTTATCAAGCAAAAGACAATTTCTGCATATACATAGTTGTTTTTTCAATGGAATTGTTGTCTTTTTACCAATAAAAAAATCAAGCTTGTGGGAAAAATATCAAGAAAATGTTATAAACACTTATTAAAGTGATTACATTTTAACTTCTAAAATTACTTGTTTCAGTGATTTTAAAAAGTCTGTGTGAAAATTTTTAATATTTCACAGCCAAAATCACTCGAGGGAGTGATTCTGAAATCACTTGTTTAAGTAGTACCCCTGACTGACTAACATTAAAACAAGGGAAAATGACCTCAATCTCTACAGACTACAAGGAATTGCATATTTAAAAGGAATGGAAACACGGCATGAGATCAATAGAGACTCCAGCGGAGCGATATTGCTGATCATCCATGTCTGATTCGGTCGGAAGTATGATGAATAATATAAAGAATCGTGACGGGAGGTCCATTCCCTGTCATATATGACATGTCCCTCATCTAAATTCACTGGGTAATAAACATGATAAAGCCTTTTAAAGGAGAGAAAAAACCAAGTCAAGTATAAACTACTATTCCATGTAAAAGCTAAGGCCTTAGGTATCATTTTAATTACTTTTCAGACATACGTTAGCAATAAATTTTAATGAAAAGTCTTATTCAAATAGACCTCGGTCTTGAAATTTGCGAGAGTTTCATCAGGATTACAATACAAAAAATACAGTGTTTTAATTTTTTTTAAAGGCACGACAACCATGAAAGGCAAAACAAAATAGTTAATATCATTATGAAGCTGAAACTTTATTCTAGAAATTTGGCTATTTTTTATGTTTCTGGTAAAATTTCTGAATTTTCTACGATTTTCTAAAACTGTAGTTTGGATTTCATTATTCAGTCAAAATGTGTCTTTCAATCTGGTAGTGTAATACGATTGTCTTTCAAATGTTGAAAAGTAGAAAGGACAAAGTGACAACGTCAGATATCATTTTAAAGAAGGAACATTTTCCTACAATTTGGTCTTAATTACGAATGCTAAATTAATATTGGTATATTGTATATGATTTTACTTCGAAACATACTGAAAATTTTAAGTAGTGCTTCAAAAATACACCAACACTATATTCTGGTAAGGGTTAAACTATCTCCTTTGAAAAGACACGGCAATGAAATACTATTCAAAAGCTAAATCTTTTTTTTTCTATAACATGGTGTTGGTTTTATGAAAATGGTGCTAGAAAGGAATTTCTATCAAAATCCCTTGTCTATAGTTTACATTGACGCCATTTTGTTCAGTCAAGTTCCACACCGAACGAAGTCTGAAAATACAGGCAAAAAATGTATAGACTTCCACTTTGAAAATGACTGTGTTGTTTTATCATGTTTATACACGATTTAATTAATTTTTTTTCAAATACTACTTTTAAAACATGTTTGAAGGCACCAACCCTCCCTTCACCTGTGATAGTTGTGTAACAGTACAACATAAGAGCAAACTATTAAAATCAGTTGAAAATGACTTAATTCATTGATAGATACAAAGCAGAAAAACATCTAACGAAAACACAGACCAGACGTGGCAGGGTATTTCTACATCCATCACAACACAAAATTTTGACACTAAGTACAGATCTGAGAGTACTCACAGTTACTGACAGCTAGTTCAAAGCTTATAACATTTAATGAAAAAATCATGTATCCAAGACTATATAATTTTAAAACAATTGCACATCAAATCATAATGTATCCATTTGAGGATGATCCATGTGGAATCTCTGATTTTCAATTTTTCTTTGCCTGTCAGAAAGCTATTTCAGTGTGGAAATGAGGTGTATAGTGACTATATAGCTGTTTTAATATGTTTGTTTTTTTTAAACAAGTCTGTTTACATTCAAAATTTTATCAATAATGACAGATTCATTGTTGAAGGGACCCTTCAACATGTTCAATGCACAAATGTACTGCAAATGTATGAAAGTTAAATTTGGCATTTTTTTTCAAAGGACATTGCAGAAGTAGACATAAATCATAACTCTGTTTTTTAATGATGGTGTCACAATCTTTTCTGTAAAATACTTATTTAATAAATGACTAAGTTATTTTACTCTGCATGCTTATATATGCATTTGTACATGTAATATAGATTTATTATATAGATAAATTTATAAACTTTCAAATCCCATTTTATAGTCATGACAGAGCATTTGTATCATTTAGTTTTAGGACTTTTCATCATGTCAGCAAAAGATCAGTTTATGAGTGAAACCTGGGATCGATAGTTTGCCACTGAAATATTCCCTGAAATCCCTTAATATTGATCGCAAATCCATAATTTTCATCATTTGTTTATTTGTACTAAAATATCCCATCAATAAGCTCTACAGTTTAAACAGGTTAAATATATTTATCTTTTTTGTGTGTTTTAGAATATGACCTCTGACACAATGTCTAATGGGAAGAAAAAACAGAAAAAGATATAAAGACCCAATTTTATCTGAAATTGAAGAAAGAGAAAGAATCAAGCAGTCTGTGCTGCAAGGTAACTATATCTTGCCCATGTTTCTTTTAAAATAGTGTTTTATGGATTTGCTTTGCTGCTAGGTTGCTGTCCCATTGACAAATACCCCACATTTCTTTTATTTATATGTGTAAACTCAAACGCACACAAATATCTATGTTTTTTAAAATTTTTCATTCATTATTTTGTACTTTGAACTGATGCTATATTTTGAATTTATATTAACAGATTTTACTTTTTAATTTCTTTACCATTAATTTGTGAAAAAGTATTCGATGTGATCACTACAGTACTCATAATATAAGAATGTGTTGGCGGCGGAGGAGGCATCAATTGTTACCGTTGTCGTCCATACGTACGTCCCAAAATTAGTTCCGTTCTCCAACTTTAGTTTGCCTCAACCAAATGTAATGAAACTTATACACAATGCTAACCACAAAACACAGATCAAGTTAGAATTTGGGTGGCGTCACTTTTATTGTTCTTCAGTTATGCTCCTTTATAACTATATGAAAGCCACAGGCACTTGTCTCAGAAAAAAAATTCCTATATACCTTAATATAACACAAGGTACTTAACTCACTTTTTTAAAAAATGTCACCCTGTTGCGAAATTCCATTATATTATGATTTCTCGGTTGTCAACCCCACTAAAACTTCTTATGCCGTAAATCTAAATTGATTTATCTACACAATGGTGTATAACACGCCTACCTTTGTTGTCGGAATCATTCGTAGCAGGCCTACCCAAGTATGTCAACCGTAATTATTTTGTCTACCAACACAGGATTGGAAATATAAATCTTATATTTCCAATCGAGTGTTGGTAGACGAAATAGAACAAATCAAATAAATTATAGGGTGAGTCCCTGGGGTCATCCCACCCCCTTCAATTTGAAAATGTGCTTTTATCTTGTAAACGGTCACGATCCCCACCTCTAAACCATATTTATACTTGTATGGGACAATAAAACAAATCAAATGAAATATAGGGGGAATCCCCAGTGTCTCCCCACCCCCTTCTTTTCAAAAACTTGTAAACGGTCGATATCTCAAACCCTTCACCATATATATTCTTGTAGTGGACAATAAAACAAATCAAATGAATATAGGGGAGTCACCCCACCCCCTTCTTTTTGAAAACTTGTAAACTGTCGAGATCCCCACCCCTCAACCATATATTCATGTATGGGACAAGATAACAAATCAAATGAAATAAAGTGTAATAGCCCTGGGGATCACACCCCCCCTTTTTTTGAGAACTTGTAAACGGTGAGATACCCACCCCTAAACCATATTTATTCCTGTTCATCATTTCAAGAAGATTTGAATGACATACAGGGTCAATCTCCTAGGCTTCACATATGCATATCACTTTACTAGACCTAACCAATTTGTACTGGACTTTGCTCAATGTCAGGCGACCATGGGAATGATGATGTATGGGACTCTGTTTGGAAGACTTCGTAACAGCATCCTGTTACAGTTATTTCTTGTTTATTATAAAATTTAATTGATGCAAAAATAAGTCTAGGTTAATTGAATTTACTTTAATTATTTTTTTAATTATTTCTGGACCTATAAAAATTTTCATTTATGGCTCATTTTAAAAAAAAACATTAAATCTTTCGAGCAGTGTAAAGCCCAAGAATGTTTGACCAACTGTTTTATAATAACCTGTCATTTTATTCCAAACGTGGGATGGAGTGACATCATGGACTTGGTGAAGGTAATGGTCATTTACATTTACTATGGGCAGGTCAATCAGACCTCACCTTTGATCCCTGTAGTAGTAAACCTTTGGCTGATTTGTATCTCATAACTTTTGTACTGTAGAAGCCAAACTCAGTGTTCCTGCCAGGGAAGCAAGTCCATTCATACTATTACAAACTCGTACTACGTCAACTTGTACCACTAAAAGTCAACTGGTACCAACGTTAACTACCAACTAGAACAACTGCAATTATTGCGAACTTGTACCACTGCAAACTCATCATGAAAAATATACATTGATATATGCATTGCTTTTGAAAATCTTGATAAAATATTGATTAATTTGCCTTAATAATCAATTCGTTTAATAAACATACATGTACAATATACGAATGTATAATGTTTGTTCTTTCAAATCTTTAAAAAAAAATTAAGCAACACTGCCACAGTTTTCATAATTACGTTTGCCTTGGTTTTTGGTTAACTGCATATAGCGCTTACAGTGCTTTGGTTTTAAGTTTTCAGAGCAAGGTATTCAGTACCAGGTGGGAGTGGAGCTATAGTGATTGGAAAGGATCAGCCAAGTTATATAGACCTTGCAGAGACCCATTCAGTTCATGAAGTGGCAGGAGAGAGCTCATCTAGTATGACAGAATCTGAATCATCTACTACTTCTGATAAAAAAACACACAAAAAAAGGAGACGTAGGAAAAGACAAAAACCACAGAGAAAAGAGAAAAAGGTGAAACCTTAAATTATGATTATTACTGTAGTTTCAGGGTTTGACATTATTAAAGGAATTTCAGATTTTTAAATTCACGTTTCATGCATATTTGAACATGTTAAAAAGTACACAGAAGAAAAGAAATCTTGCAATTATAACTGAAAATGGTATTATTCATTATCTTGCATAAAAATTATGCTGAACATGCTTTCTATAGAGGGTGGTTGCCTAATTTTCGTGGACTTTCACGTGATTCAAAATATAATTGATGAAACTGCAGTGGAGGTTTTATTCGCGAGTTCCCCTACTGAATCTTGCAATGAAACAAATGTTGAACACAATTATAATTCATTATCTTGCATAAAAATTATGCTGAACATGCTTTCTATAGAGGGTGGTTGCCTAATTTTCGTGGACTTTCACGTGATTCAAAATATAATTGATGAAACTGCAGTGGAGGTTTTATTCTCGAGTTCCCCTACTGAATCTTGCAATGAAACAAATGTTGAACACAATTTCAGTCAGACTCGGCTTTAAAAACTGTGAATTCATATTAAAATGTTTTCATCTTTGTTTTTCATTTCCATTCAGGTAGAAACGACAGACAGACATGATGTTGCAAAGCATCTGAAGATAGCAAATGATGTTAGTCATGTAAGTTTTCAATTAAGTCAATATTATAATTCAATTATCACTAACTGGGTCAATATGCACAATTCATTTCATTAAGGCAGTAATGATGGCATTTTCTTCAGTTCCTCTGCCCATATCATAAACATGTATGATGGCTAATTTCGATGCTGAGAAATTTTCAGATATGTGGTTAAATTTTCAGGTTCGAAATGAGATTCATTTTCCTGCAATTTTGCATACCAATAAAAACTCATTATGATGCGGCTTCTCAAGGTAAAAAATCCCTATTTTCACACAAAAAGATAATTTTTATATTTAGATATTCAGTTCTTTGCATTCATTGAAATAACTCCATAATTTTTTCACCTTTATTCTATGGTTATCTGTTCTTCAAATCAGCACAAATGGTTAAGCTCAGTCACTTGTTAAAAATTGCAACATATCCAATATCACTACACAGAGATTTTTTGTTTATAAATTATATTTGAGTACCTCAATTTGAGGAGCACTTGGGATATTAACCCAACTGTAAATTTAGAAATTTTTGCAATGTTTTATTATTGTATTCTCACATGTTTTTCCATTGTTCACAATCTCAATAGTAAATGCACTCAGATATTTTTTGAATTTAAAGTATTATCATGATTATGTACAAAAGCAAGAAACTTAAAATCACAAGCACAGATCTTCATAACTGTGATTGTACTTTATGAATATTTATGAGTGTTTTTATTGAATATGAAAATGGAGGTATTGGTAAATGCTTATTACAAATGTTTGGAATATGGCTATATGTAAACTTTATGGAGCAGTTTCCCTGGCAATATATTAAAAGAACTCATAGCGATGAACGTTTGATATATTGTGTTGATACTGAATTATCATTGAAGACCGTACTGATTGACCTCTTGTTGTCTTTTGGTGTTATCTTTTGTTTTAGGTTGACATTGACATTTACACCACATTTATATTTAAAGGAATAAAAAGGTGGTATGTGTACATGGTTTATATTGTACATGGTTTATATGCAAACATGGTAGGGACTAGAAATTGATACATTGTAATTGATTAATTATTTCCTTTCTTCTTTCAGATATTAAGACCCACTATAGATGCATCTAAAGTTAGCAGTATATGTCAAAACAGATTGACCGTATGTTATATCTATTTAAAATGTTTCGTTAATTCTGCTTGCATTAAAAACATGTGTAAACCAGTTTGGAATAAATTTTTGATATACCACATGCCGAATCAACTGTTGCTTGTAATATCTGACGACAATCTGCTCTGAATATCATAATCAAGAATTTTTCATAAAAATCACCAGAGAAATAGACTCTACAACTTGACCTATTAATAATGATATTTTTCCACTGTCTTATAAGTTACATTTTCAATTTGTAAATCTTTTTTATTTAGAATGGATAAGTATCATGATAATCAGGTTACTATTGTGCTATGTATGCTCTGCTTATTAAAGAAAATATAAAATCACTATCAGGTGAAAAAACAATCCAGGTTTCCACTCCCATGGCATAATGCTAGGCAGTCTTGAATTTGGTAAACAGTAAAAGAAAAGAATAAGTTTTGCATATTGGGAAACCAATCAAGTCAAAATTTATAATTATATAGATTTGAACACATCTGTTTACCTTATCAACCATGCAACCATGGCTGATAACAATGATGTCTATTAATTAAAGTTTAATGAGGATTTGAATAGATTTTGGATTTTTATACCCCCGCTTTTAAAAAAGTTGGGGTATACTGTTTTACCTCTGTCTGTCCATCCTTCTGTTCATCCATCTATCCGTCAGTCCATCCATCCGTCCATCAGTCCGTCCGTCTGTCTCATGAATATTTTTTCGTCGCATCTTTCTCAGGAACTACATTACAAGGATTGCTGAAATTTGGTTCCAGGGTTTATATAAGTCAGCTGTACCGTTTGATGCATTTTCAGATTCATCACTAAACAACTTCTTGTTTACCGAACACTTGCATCATTTTACACATGATAGCCAAGTTGAAAATTTTCGTCACATTTTTCTCAGGAACTACAATACAAGGATTTCTGAAATTTAGTTTCAGGGTTTATATAAGTCAGCTATACCGTGTGATTCGTTTTCAGATTCATCACTCAACAACTTCTTGTTTACCGAACACTTGTATTATTTTACACATGAAAGCCAAGTTGAAAATTTCGTCACATTTTTCTCAGGAACTTCAATGCAAGGATTTCTGAAATTTGGTTTCAGAGTTTATATAAGTCAGCTATATCGTGTGATGCGTTTTCAGATTCATCACTCAACAACTTCTTGTTTACCGTCAAGTATTTGGGCGGGGGTATCATCAGTGAGCAGTAGCTCGCAGTTTCACTTGTTTTTCCTGTTTGTTCTTTCAGAGAAAAATGGGTCTTTTCAATGCAGGGAAGAAATCTTCAACAATATCCAGAGGTAAATATGATGAAAACAGCATTGCTAAAGGTTCTGGAAATTCAAAAAAAATTTGCATTCATTTATTATTAGGGCCCCGCATCGAGGATGCAGAAGCCCCTATAGTTTTCACTTTGTCCATCTGTCTGTCCTCAATTTTTGTAAACGCTAAAACTTCAAAAGTATAGGTAGGAGGTCAATGAAATTTTGCACAGTTGTTGTACATAATACGTAGATGTACATATTATATTTTGGTGAAATTCAGCTTATTTATTTTGGAGAAAAAAATCGTTTTGTTAAAAAAAAGTGAAATTCGACTCATTAATTTCTGCAAGACTTTGATTTTGTTTGAAAAATCAAAATTTTGAGAAATGTGTTATGTTACAAAAATCTCCAATTCCTCCAATAGTATGGGTAAGAGGCTTATGAAATTTCACACAGTTGTTCTACATAATATGTAGATGTGCATAATGTATTTTGGTGAAATTCAGCTTAATTTGGAATCACAAATTTTGAGAAATGTCTTTTGTAAGCGAAAAAACTCCAAAAGTATAGGTATTTTGCGCAGTTGTAGTTCTTACGTAGATGTGCATATTATATTCTGTCGAAATTTCGGCTCATTTATTTCTGCAAAACTTTGTTTTTGTTAAAAAATCACAAATTTTGAGAAATGTCTTTTATATATGCAAAATCTCCAGTAGTATACATAGGAAGCCAAAGAAATTATGTGCATATTCATATTTTGGTGAATTTCAGCTCATTATTTTTGGAATAAACAAAAATCAGATGTTTTGAGAAATTTCTTGTAAACGTAAAAACTCCAAAAGTAAATGAATAGGACAAATAAAATTTTGCACAGTTGTTGTGCATAATATGTAGATGTGCATATTATATTTTGGTGAAACTCTGCTGTTTAATTTTGGAAAAAACTTTGTTTTTCGTTTTTAAAAAAATCACAAATTTTGAGAAATGTCTACTTATAATAGAATTTTAACAAAAACTGACATATAAGGGGATTAAGAAATTTCAAAATGATCGACAAATTAAAAAAAATGGTAAAAACTTACTTTTTGATTAAAAATCACAAATTTTGAGAAGCATTCTATTGTAGTAGGATGTCTTCAAAAATTGATATAGAATTTAATAGGCATTTAAAATGCATTCCAAATTGTCTCCTCAAGTCAAATTGTGTCAAGAAATTAGTTTTTTCTTTAAAAAATGATAGATTCGAAAATAGTATTTCTTGCTAGGATTTGAATGGAAAATATCATTTGCTATTACTAAAGGATTCTCTGTGTCAAAATTATTGGAATTCCACCATTTTTGAAAATGCCATCCAAAATACATGTCACAGGGCTTGGATTTTAAAAAAACATATATTAATCAAGAACACATCCTAAAACTGGTGTCAAAAGTTATGAAAATTGACAACCGATGAACTTTTGCTTTGTACATGTTGTATGCATCAGTCTCTTTGTCTCACATAAAAATATGTAAGTGTGGCCCTTGCTGACATGTCAGTTTTCTGTAGTTGTGATTTTTTTAACAATGGACACAAAGTGCAATTAATTATTGCAATTTTAGGAATTGCTACATGTTTACAATGTATGCCATTTTAATTTCAAACAAGAGCTGTTACTTTTGCAGATCCCATATCTCATCGCATTTTTTACAAAGATAAAACATCTAAAAATTCTTTATCATTGTACCATCTGATTGACTTCAGTAGATCTCCAGTGCCTGAGGGTACTTCTCACTATAAGATAAATGCATATATACTAAATAGAAAGAAAAAAAATAATTTTTTTTTACATATGGACATATTTTTTGAAATAAATGTTCAAGAAATTATTATCAACAGGAAAATGTGAATGTTACAGGAAAAGTTTAATATCCGAGTTTTTAGAAATCAATATAAAAATAAGGAGATGAGGTATGATTGCCAATGAGACAACTATCCACCAAAGCCAATTTTTAAAACTGTATATTTTGTTTTCTGCATTTATTGTTGCGATTGATGCTGAATAAAAAAAAAAGGGATGTCAGGAAATACAGCATATAAATATTGTGATCAGGATTTAAAAAGAGAATTGTAATTTTTGTCTCGCCTTGACAAGGTCAAAAAGCGAGACATAGGTATGCTGCTTCCGGTGGCGGCGGCAGGGTCAACAATGTATTAGTTTGTGATTAGGTCTAGTTCATGGTGAACCACTAGTGGTAGGTCAATGATATTTGGTATGCAGTTGTATTAGCATTGGCACATCTCATTACCCATGGAGATTATTTGGCCCCGCCCCCTCAGTCAAGGTCTATTGACTTTGAAACTTTGCTTAGTTTACATGTATTAGTTTGTGATAAGGTCAGTTTATGGGGAACCAGTAGTGGTAGGTCAATGATATTTGGTATGCAGTTGTATAAGCATTGGCATATCTCATTTCCATGGAGATTATTTGGCCCTGCCCCCTCATTCATGGTCTATTGACTTTGAAACTTTTGCTTAGTTTTCATGTATTAGTTTGTGATTAGGTCAGTTTAAGATGAACCACTCATGTTAAGTCAATGATATTCTGTATGCAAATGTATTGGCATTTGCAAGTTTCATTTCCATGGAGATTATATAACCCCACCCCCTAATTATCATGATTATGGTTCATTGACTTTGAAACTTTTACATAGGTTTGTGTTTAGGTTTGTTTAAAGGGAATGACTTAATACATGTTAAAGTATTGCTATTTTAATTTCAACATTTGCATTATCAAAATAACAAATAGGCGAGACATATCTCTGTGTTAACATTTTTTTTTTTAAATGTATCACATTTTTTTGTGACAATAAATTCATAGCAAGTACCTGGCAACATAATTTCCTATATAATATGTGATTTTATTTTCCTGTAAAAAAAAATATGATTAACAAAAAATAACATGTAATAATCCTTGGAAACCATCAAAACTGGACAAAAAAAAGAATATGAAAACTTCTAACATGGTTATATTTTAATCTGAGTTAGACCATTGGTGCACCTTGTCCTTTAAATTTTGTAATTTGAAAATTTGAATGAATAGCTAGTACATGTATTACCATTTAAATCTTTTATCAAAGATGAATGTACTGTTATTACACCAACAAAAATTTTGATTATCTGTTATTTTCTTATATAAATAAAATCAGTACAACATCACTACCAAAGTTATATGTTTTTTTTTCTTCTCTAGAAATATATATCCCTGATGCAGTAAAGAAAAAAACACAAGAAGATTTAAAGAAGATCTTAAATCAAAGTGTCAAAGAAGATGATAATCAGTCACATGATGATCAACTTAATATTAGTCATAGGTCTGTATGTCAATCTCAACTGCAAAATGTTCTGCTGGTGTCGATCTCAGCTTTACAGAAAATTCAATTATTCTATAAATTCAACTTTAATACATAAAAAATTGATAAGAAAGTGAATTCATTTAATTTTTGTTTTATTTTGTATAATTCCTTATAAATAGAAATGCTTTATTGATTAACATTAATAAATTGTTTGAATTTTTGTAGTCCTTTGATATTACCAAAACCAAGTTACAGAGCTTCATCTACAGCTAATAGTAACAAGAAGTCTGATTTGGGATACAGAAGTGCTGGTAGTAATTCTATCACACCTTCATCTCCAAAGATCAAAATGGCAGTCAGGTAGAATTTGTAGAAAAAAGATTTACATATTGTCGAATATTTCTCTGTAAATTATATGGAATTCACTATTTTTGAAAGTAATTGAATTAAAATAGATGCAACAGTAATTTACCCATGCTTAAATCCAATTAACCAAACAAGAATACAAAACTTAAGATGAAAATACAAAATAAAATCGCTTGAATTCATAACGGAGCCACACTGAGTGCATGGATGGGGTAAGTTTCTCCTGCTATGTAAAATCTCACTCCATCAAAATGTCACTATAGGGAATAAGAAAAAGGTGGTAAATGTACAGATCAGATGACTTTTCTGGTAGCTATAAAGATCTAAGACTGAAAACATGTCTCTTGTGAGTTGAGACTGACCTAATTGATTTCTTGATGGATCAATGAAAAAAGTACTCAGTGTGTTGGACCTATATATATATTCAAGAGGATATGTTTTTCTTTATTACCAGATTTCTCTAAAAATGTCAATAGACCAGATACTTTCAGTGCCAAATATATCATTTTTGCATTTGGAAAAATGGATGTTTATTTAGAATGTACTTTATTACTTAATGATTACTTGATATTTGCCAAACCTTTCTATAAAGATATATGCATAAGACTTTATCTTTTAGCTCTGCAAGCTGTTTAAGTGCAGCAAGTTCTGAAGATTTAAGGGAAATTTTACCAGAGGTAAAGGACAAGTTTTTCATGTATAAGTATCTAATTATAAGCTTAGATTAGAATTTATTACTGTAGGTGTAATACCACCAAATCATAGTACGTCACATCCGGTTGCATACGAAAATAGGTCGAAAAAAAATATTCCCTTGAATTTGACAGTTGTAGGTAATTGATCCTACATTTCATTGCAGTAAAACATTTCTGAGTCATAAACATATATCTTGGGTATTTCAAAGCACCATTATTAAGTCTCCCAAACGAAGTTTGGGAAGACTTATTGTTTTTGTTCAGTTCTTATTATTATTATTATTCTTCTTCTTCTTCTTCTTCTTCTTCTTCTTCTTCTTCTTCTTCTTCTTCTTCCGCCGCTTTTAAATTTGAACTTGTCCGCACCCGTTCTCCAAAACCGCTTGTCAGATTAACTTAGGGTTTCACAATATGTTAGACTAACATGTCTAGTGGTGCAATCAGGGTTTTGTTTGTGCAGTGGGGTTTATAAAGGGGTACTTTGAGGGGCAAAAAGAAAAGAGGGTTTTACTATAGAACCCTATGGGATTTTATTTTTTTAAATTTTCAAATGATTATAAATTGAAAACCGTTTGTGATAGACACAATCTTTTTAATTGAAAATGTTCTAAATGACGAAGCCCATTAAATGAAATACAGGGTTAGTCCCCAGGGGTCACCCCCACCCCCTGCCATTTAAGAAAGTTCTAATACCTTGTAAGTGGTCAAGATCCCCACCCCTAAACCATATATATTTTGGTTTGTTATGCTAAGATGGTTTGAATGATATACAGGGTTAGTCCCCAGGGGTCACCCCGACCCCCTGCCATTTGAGAAAGTTCTAATAGCTTGTAAATGGTCGAGATCCCCACCCCTAAACCATATATATTCTGGTTTGTCATGACAAAGCACATCAAATGAAATACAGGGTTAGTCCCCAGGGGTCACCCCCACCCCCTGCCATTTAAGAAAGTTCTAATATCTAAGTGGTCAAGATCCCCACCCCTAAACCATATATATTCTGGTTTGTCATGCTAAGATAGTTTGAATGATATACAGGGTTAGTCCCCAGGGGTTATCCCGACCCCCTGCCATTTGAGAAAGTTCTAATATCTTGTAAATGGTCGAGATCCCTACCCCTAAACCATATATATTCTGGTTTGTCATGATAAAGCACATCTTATGAAATACAGGGTTAGTCCCCAGGGGTCACCCCCACCCCCTGCCATTAAGAAAGTTCTAATATCTTGTAAGTGGTCAAGATCCCCACCCCTAAACCATATATATTCTGGTTTGTCATGCTAAGATGGTTTGAATGATATACAGGGTTAGTCCCCAGGGGTCATCCCGACCCCCTGCCATTTGAGAAAGTTCTAATATCTTGTAAATGGTCGAGATCCCCACCCCTAAACCATATATATTCTGGTTTGTCATGATAAAGCACATCAAATGAAATACAGGGTTAGTCCCCAGGGGTCACCCCCACCCCCTGCCATTTGAGAAAGTTCTAATATCTTGTAAATGGTTGAGATCCCCACCCCTAAACCATATATATTCCTATTTGTCATGTCTCGAACATTTGAATGACATATACGGTCAGTCCCCAGGGGTCCCCCCACCCCCAATGTTCTAATATCTTGTAAATGGTTGAGATCCCCACCCCTAAACCATATATATTCCTGTTCGTCATGTAATGAACATTTGAATGACGTATAGGGCCAGTCCCCAGGGGTTCCTCCCCACCCCCAATGTTCTAGTATCTTGTAAATGGTCGAGATCCCCACCCCTAAACCATATATATTCTGGTTTGTCATGCCAAGATGATTTGAATGATATACAAGATTAGTCCCCAGGCATCACTAATGCATATAACTTTACTGGACCAAACCAATTTTCACTGGAAGTTGCCCAATGTCAGGCGACCCTGGGAATTACGAATTATGGGAGCTTCGTTTGGGAGACTTCGTAACAGCATCCTGTTACATTCATTTCTTGTTTCTTTATTTGGGGTTTCTATAGAATATTTTGGAAACTTGAGGTTACATGGTTACTAAAGCTTGTACACAGGTTAAAAAAGGGGGAAAATTTGATTGGTTAACTTCCAGAGATGGTTATTTTCTTATATGCAATGAAATGTTATGTGAAATTTTTTCTATAGTACTGGACAGGATAAAACTTTACTCATGCCAAGTATTTCTTTATTTGAAACAAAGATAAATTCTGCACAATTTTTTGAAAAGTGCAAATTTAACAAAGACTAATAGGGGAAAATCAATGGTGGTATTACACCTAATATGGGAAGCTGTACATGCACCTTTGACCTTGTGAGTACTCTCATGTGTTAAAATTTCTTGCTATTTAAGTGAAATATTACAAATAATGAAATATTCTGAGTGGATTGAGTCTCCAAAATACATTTTATGAGAAAATTTCCTTGAAATAGGACTTTACCATGAATATCAGTTGACAGAACAAGCCATACTTAGAGTCTTGGGGAGCTTTTTCTCCTTATTTCTTATATTCTGCTATACTAGAAAATTTTTCCTAAGAAATACTTTAATAAATATATAGTTTTAAGTAAATGAAATTATTTTTAAAGCAGTAACAACAATTTATTCACCAAAAGAGAAGTTTTTTATGTCCCTCTCTGGAACGCGGCGTAAATTTAAGTTTTACGTAAGGACTTATTGAAACCTCCTTGGAGACAGTAAACTTTTATACGGATAGTTCATTCAGCTTGAATACTTCAATTAATCATTTATAATAACATTTCTATCATGAATGAGTGAAAGTTACCCCAAAATTTTTATTTATTGGCCTAAAAAGTAGAAATTTTGAGGAAATGAGAGGTATAAATGGACCAAAAGAGACCTTATAAGGAAGACAAAGAGGTCCATTAGTAGTATTTATCATCCTAAAGTCATCTTTTGTATCATATTCAACTGTTTGTAGGCAGATGAGATAAATATTTGGTCATTTATTGGTCCACACTATATTCTATCATTATACGGCTTGGTTTGAATTTTTCGAAGAAATTTTGCTCGAATCGCTGTAGATGTCGTCTTACATTATACTAGATTTTTCTCAAACTATTGAACTGATTATGACAAAACTTGACAGGAATGCTTGAAATAACCAGTATTACAAAGGAAAAAAGTCACATTCAGTTTATTTAACAAAAAAGTCTTCTTTAGGTGTAATACCACCAAATCATAGTACGTCACATCCGGTTGCATACGAAAATAGGTCGAAAAAAAATATTCCCTTGAATTTGACAGTTGTAGGTAATTGATCCTACATTTCATTGCATTAAAACATTTCTGAGTCATAAACATATATCTTGGGTATTTCAAAGCACCATTATTTCTTTATTTGGGGTTTCTATAGAATATTTTGGAAACTTGAGGTTACATGGTTACTAAAGCTTGTACACAGGTTAAAAAAGGGGGAAAATTTGATTGGTTAACTTCCAGAGATGGTTATTTTCTTATATGCAATGAAATGTTATGTGAAATTTTTTCTATAGTACTGGACAGGATAAAACTTTACTCATGCCAAGTATTTCTTTATTTAAAACAAAGATAAATTCTGCACAATTTTTTGAAAAGTGCAAATTTAACAAAGACTAATAGGGGAAAATCAATGGTGGTATTACACCTGTAACTCATATGCTGATCTTTGCTTGTTCAATGCTAGAGACAGCTACTATATTACCTGTTAATGCCAGATCCATTGTTTTATATGGTGCTAGAATTCCGGACCTTAAACATGTTAAAACAAAAATTTGTCAAATTTACCATTCTTATCAAATAACTGAAATTAAATACTGAGAGTTTATATCAAACAATATCAAATTCTCAAGTGCTGTAAAACCTGTTTCACATTGAATTGATAGGCAAGAAATATCTCTACATGCGGTAAATAGATAACTGGCCACATCCATAAGAGAATTTACGTTATATCATATCAAACCTTAAAAGTACAAGAATTTTCACTTTAATATTATAATTAATTAATCCATATTTCATTTGATACTGTGAATAGTTGATGTCAATGGTCAACTTAGAGGACATAGTGCTGTGGAGAAGAAACTCAGAAGAGTTTTGTCCTGTTTTTACTTTAAGCATTTTTTCTGTAAATATATTTATCATTAACTGAATAGACTGAGAATTACTGGAATTTTTATTACAGGAACCTCCAATGGAAGACATTTCTGAATTACTTATCAAGAATCTAAACTTAAAGCAGTTCTTTCCTGGTAGAAGTAAGCATATAAACTAATATATAAATGTATATTTTAATGTTATCTGTTTATATCATGTTATTCCTCTGTCACTGTAGCACTCATTTCTGCAAAATATTTCAGTGGTCCAGACTTTTTTCACTGCTGCTTTACATATCTACATTGTTTTCTTTAATCTTTCAGTTATTGATTTGTTATGAAACCATGTGTAATTGTAATTTGATAGAATTTGTGTTTCAGTCTGGTTAAATTTTTATGCCCCACCTACGATAGTAGAGGGGCATTATGTTTTTTGGTCTGTGAGTCCGTCCGTTCGTTCATCTGTCCCGCTTCAGGTTAAAAAGGTAGTTTTTATGAAGTTGAGTCCAATCAACTTGAAACTTAGTACACATGTTCCATATGATATGATCTTTCTAATTTTAATGCCAAATTAGAGTTTTGACCCCAATTTCACGGTCCACTGAACATTGAAAATGATAGTGCGAGTGGGGCATCCGTGTACTATGGACACATTCTTGTTTTGAATAGAGTTACAGTCCTTTAATAGAGTTAAAAGCTTAAATGGAAATTTATAACTCTTTATACAAAAGTTCATAAGCTCTCTATAGTCTAGTGTTAGCATGCTGGCCTTGAATGACAAGTTTGAGAAATAAATCCCTTACAGCTTCTTACCATGAGGTATTTAGAGATATTTCAAACTGATTGACTAAAGATTAAAGATAATATATCTTGATGGGGTGATCTTTGTTCCTGTTGATCCTAAAGGTGCTGAGCTAGTGTATAGACTTGAACAAACATAATTTGCAGATACAGTTAGTAGACTGTCACTCTTTATAGGAATGATTGCCCTTAAATGAGGATTTTCTTTTACCCTCTTTTGTGTTTTGAACAAAAACTAAAGAAGATAGAGAGAAACTAAACACAAAATGATCAGCAATACAAGAGCAACAAAACAGAGATTTTTGTCATGAATTCTATTCTAGTCTTCGAAGTTGGAAAGTGTCCTTTATTGAATATACACATAGACCAAGGTGAGCAAATCAGGCTCTTTAGTGCCTCTAGTTTATATCCTTCAAATTAGATGCTGACAACATATCCTTGTGGATTATTCAGTCCTTAATTGTATATAAAGTAAGGTGTACGTGAGAGTGATGTGTTGATTTTTTCGAACTTGTATATATATCTTTATCATAAAAAAGGCAAATATAAAACCAAAAATTAGGACACATTTGACTTGTAAGAAACAGTACTGTAAATTGTTGAAAAATAGACACAAATGTGATAATCATTATTGCAATGTCAGGAAATGAGACACATACAAATAATGCTGTCAAAATTTAAAAGACAAGATTATATTTTTGTGAAACTTGTCTCGTTGCAATTTTTAGAATAATAAAAACATTGATAAAAAAAATGAATTCACAGTAGTGTACATCCTTTTTTTATTCTATGGTCAGTTTTGTATTTCAAATATGTATGATTTCAGATTTGTTTGAAGAGACTGTAGAAGAACTGAGGAAGATAATGAAACAGAAGTAAGTATGATTTACAAAATCCCTAAAATCTTAATATCTCAACACTGTTTCACAATTTGTAAGTTACTCACTGTACGTTAATATGTCCTGCTTTGCTGTTGTCATGTTATTATGTGTTTGTTTTTAAAATTAAGATTATTAAGATATTTGAAAAAAAATCATAAACAAATTTAGAATTAGAAAATGTACTACCATAATCTCATAAGGGTGTGATATTCATATAGTGGTGTAATACCACCAAATCATAGTACGTCACATCCGGTTGCATATGAAAAAGGGTAAAAAAAAAATATTCCCTTGAATTTGACAGTTGTAGGAAATCAATCTAACATTTCATTGCAGTAAAAAATTTCTGAGGCATAAACATATATTAGGTGTTTCAAAGCACCATTCTTTTTTTATTTGGTGTTTCTATAGAATATTTTGGAAATTTGAGGTTACATGGTTACTAAAGCTTGTACACAGGGAAAAAAGGAGTGAAAATTTGATTGGTTAACTTCAAGTGATGGTTATTATCTTATATGCAATGAAATGTTATGTGAAATTTGTTCTGTAGTACTGGACAGGATAAAACTTTACTCATGCCAAGTATTTCTTTATTTGAAAGAAAGATAAATTCTGGACAAATTTTTGAAAAGTGCAAATTTAACAAAGACTAATAGGGGAAAAACAATGGTAGTATTACTCCTAGAACTGACAAAGCCATTGATTATGATGTCATTTAAAGAGATAGGACAGTTATTTAAAGCCTGATCACATTTATTAAATGTCAAGATGTCTAGACTGAATATAGATGTATTTACACTTGTATGCAAATTTGTTGCCATTCCTTAAAGTTACACAAGTTCCCGTAAAATTTGACATCACAATTTTAAAAAATTTGACGTCATAATTAAAAAGTGATTGTTGCTTGACGTCAGAATGTTATTTGGAGACAGATCTAAGGTCATTCAGAGACAAAATTCAGCTAATAACAAAAGTGTAAATACGTTTATTGTACAATTAATTGGTGAATAAAATTCAAATTGTCAGAAGATTTTGGTGGTTTATTAGTCTCTAACCAGCAAAAATCAAGGGGACTATAGATTTGTACTTTAGATATTTTGAATAAAGTTATATCATACCAAGATCTCAAAATCTTTTTTTCCCTGGTGGTCTTTGAAGAAAATGTGCTGGTCCTCAGTGATCGGGAAGGACATGCGCCAATTGCGCTTTTCGACCATAAATGGCGCATAGGGTGACAAATGTAAGCGCCCACATGGCGCACAATATTTTTCACTTTGTTTTTAAACTTTAGATATCGTAAAATGGATTTCCGATCGTGAATCGTGTCGCCATGTGTGTGTACAAAACTGTGTAGTGTTCCCTCCAATGATAGGAGCACCACCTATTGATTTTTGGGACGTCTCGGGCGTTTTTCTACGGTAATAATAGCAACATGCGGTATAGCTGATTACCCAAAATACGTAATAAATCATCATTCATGATATAAATTTTTATAAACAACTTTAAATTTGTGAAATTTGGCTAGTACAGTCGAAAATTTTTCTCTAATTATAATCTTTTAAGTAAGCTTGCTATTATTTCGATTGAAAAACCCAAAAGCCTTTTTATGAATGTAGTATTTGTTTCCATAAAAGGCACTTAACTGTCCTTGTCAGTTTTTTGGTCTTTGTCTCGTTTGAACATTTTGTAAACATGCCTTCAGCGAATTGTTGTTGTGTCTTATCAATTAACGTTACTCTCTACTGTTATTCTTGTCATCGCGATGAAGTAATAATAATACAAGTGCAGAGGAAATGCCAGAAACGTCCTCTAATACGGAACGTCTGGAATAAAGTATGGCAATCGACGAAGACCCAAATTTAATGTAAAGAAAAACATGAACATGAACAAGGCAACAGTACCAGTTGTAAATAAAGGTTATCGTAAATATTGCCCGGTTTGGAAGAAATTATTGTATATTCATTGAAATTGAAATTACAAAGCACAGGAACAATATCCATGATATCAATTAGAATCATACAGGTACTGTAAGTACTACTGCCTTGTTGCTGAAATATACATTTTATTTTTTGATTATTTATTGTAAACGAATGGCCCACTCATTTGACAACATGGCCCATTAATTTTAAAATGGCCCATTGAATTTATTTTATGGGGGACCTGGGCCCATAGAGAAAAAATCCTTACAGATCACTGTGGTCCTCACTATTATTTCTATTGCAAAAAAACAAAATTGTGTTGATCCTTTGCAAAATTTTGATGATCAAAATCTTCAAACAACCACTTTTTGTGAAATCGTGGATAGATGTCTCATTGGGAATCATATGAAATTACAGTTCAAATTCCAATGCAGTTAAACAATCTTGCAGAAGTTTTAACCCTGGAAAAAGTGCTTGAAAATTGGTTTTCTAGGCTGGCAGTTGCTGACAATATCCACACCTTTTAAATGAATATTCTGACCTATGCAATGTTGAGCTGGATATGTCCAACTTTATAATTAGTAACAACTCTTTCCAAATATGAATTGAAAGTAACCAGACTTCATCAATTGAATGTATGTCCAATACAAGTGTAAATCATCCAAGTGGGTGAATATAGCTAAAAATATCGCACTTCTAGCAAGTGAAAACTATTCGATCTAAAGGTATGTGGAGACTTGTGTTCATATAAAAATAATATTTTATAAAAGAAGAGGTGTAATAGTATATTTAATTTTTGGCGCAAACGATGATAGATTTTTTTCCCAACAAGCGGTGAATAAGGACTCATCTTTAAGGCAAAGGGATTTCTTTCAAAAACGTTGCACCCAATTATATTAGTATATGACAAGAGCATTTTGATTATGCTTCTTGGTTAAGGTCCCTAATACCCTTCTAAATAGGCATGAGGGAGCACTGATGATGGTGAAGATAATTACTGTAAAAACAAAAGATTAGAACTCTGCAGCTATAAATTATTCACTTTTAAATGGCACATATATTTATTTTTTATCTATTGCAGTTCTTTTAGTTCCACTCCAATATCCAAGAAATTACATGCCAAACAGGTAGATTCAGTGAAAAGATCACTTCTAGACATTTATTCTCCAGCAAAGCAACAAGGTACACATTAAAAAAGTAAAAAGTGGTGGAAATGGGATAAATGTGATATATTTTTCTGTTTTATATAGACTTATACACAAATTTAGGTATAGTTTATTCATTTTGAATTCAAATTTAAGTGAAAATTGGCTATTGCTACCAAGGATCTGGAAATTTTTCACACAATTTCGGTCATTTTGAGATAACTTAAAAGTTGGTGCCCTTTTTTAAAAAAATTGTCGAAATCACACAAGGTTCCTAGCATCAACGAATGTGTTTTGACTGTTCATCGCATTTACTTTATGAATTTTCTTACCATTTTCCTAACAACGTTCAAGAACAGTTAAGGGAAGGCAACATTTTTAAAATGAAAGATTTTAATGACTCAAAACTGTAAATTTCTCGACATCGCTAACGTTTCTTGCTATTTTGAAGACGAAATTAAAACCGGATGTTTGCGACAATACAAAAGTATGAGTAATTCCAGCCTCATTATCGAGATTCGTTTTGTTTATCAAATTGACAGGAAATCACCGTCTTTTTTTTATTATTTACCTTTAAAAATGTTTGAATATTACAGATAATAGTTGCACTTGTTTTACTTAGCATGAAATTATTTTGCATTTTATGATTAAGTGTCTAGTCTGCTGAAGAGAATTTCACGCATGCGTATTACATAGTAAATCAAGCATGTGTGTTACATTTGTACTCGTGAAAAAATACTTTTTTCTACGTAAATTAAATTAAGTTTTAATTTTTAAATCAGAATTGATGATTATCTTTGCCGAAAAGTAATTAGATAATGACTACAGTTGTCATGGAATTTTCTTTTCTTTATAATATTAGTTCTGAGCTTGTGATCAATGTCAGCATGGTCAGGTGTGAATTAAAAACAGGTAAAAAGTGATTAGCTATCTTTAGCCAATATTTCCTGGAGGCATTAATATAGCTATAAGTAGGGCCCTGAGGATTATCATACTATACTGGAGTGGCAGTTTTATCACAAGAAAGGGATAACGAAACAAAAACAAGTGCAAAATGGCGATTAAGAAACCCGATCCCAACGAAATGACCGAAATTATTTCTGTAAAAAAATAAAATTTGACCTAAATCCCAATTTGTTGTTTAGGACAAATAGATTTCAGATTCGGTCATGTCTGGCAAATATGACCGTTTCCGGACCCTTGATTGCTACCTATGTAATAAAAAAGAAAAATCCTGAGAATTTGTATGCAGTATGACTACACTAATGCTTATGCTATCATTACTTTTAGACATTTTGATACAGTTGCTTTAAGGATTAATTATGATAAAAAATGATTTTATATATTTCAACAGGTAATGTCAAGGTACCTTCCAGACCATCAAGTGTCAAAACTACATCATCAACTAATATGTCACAGTCTCCACAGATTTCAAAGATTCAGCCATGTATAACAATGCATAATCATAAATCAACTAGATCATCCACGAACTGTGATAAATATCTTTTCCCTAAAACAACTGGTGTAACATATGAATCTTCATCTTCTCAAGAGAAAGAATATTTAGATGGAAAATCTCTGATTAATAGGTGTAATAATCCTCCAATTTACAGCATGGCTAGTATTAGTTACAAACATTCATCAACAGTAACTCATTCTCCACGTAAATACCTCAGGAAAGACTCAGTAGATGCAAAAACTTTGTTGAAATGCAATGATAAGATGATAGCAGAAGCTTGTCATCAGATGGAACAGTTAGCTTCCAAACCTCAGCCTATGGAAACAGATGATTCAAATGCTTCAGATTCAAATGCTTTGAATTTGTTAAAGGTAATCATGATACATTGGATATCAAAGAACATTCATCTGCAAAGGTAACTGATTGCATGGCTTTCAAAATTAGATCGTAGGTTTCAGTTCTCTACCTGCCACTTTCATAATGTATAAACAACTTTGGTAGAAAAATACATATGGCTATTTTAAAATTTATTGAAAGCCCTGTGATTATATTGAGCTTTTAAAAAAACAAAACGAATTTAAAAAGACCAAATTTAAATACTGTAAATTCAGAAATTATTGCGAGGTTTTTATTAATGCGAATAATGCGACTGAATGAGTATCACGATAATAAAAACTCGCATTCTGATATCTGATACATATAACTGTATGCAGATTTTTCCTGAAATCGCATCAATTAATATCACATCTTAGTCCATTCTTCAAAATTCACAATAATAAATGCATGAAATAATTTCTGAATTTACAGTAATTGACTTAGTTGTATCAGATTTTGCTTCTTCTTTAAATGGATGATTTTAGAAATTTCTGCAGTTATTTAAATTTTCTGATACTGTATCCTATTATGTTTTATGTTTGTACTTGAATGTTTGGATGATATATTATCAGATGAACATTAGTGTTGTTCAAGGTGTTAAGCTAATTCAAATAACAAATGGATCTACAGAAAGCTCTCATACTTTGTACAATGTATTCTAATTCTACTTTTTGGGGGGTCTCTGGTGGAGGACCATTGGCAATCATACCACATCTTATTTTTATATTAGTAGGATTGTTTGCAATCATGTGAAATGTGAAGTTAACCATATTGTACCATCATTGTGATTTAACCACTTTTACAAGTGTTAAGGGACTTTTTACTTTTTTGGACTATCCTTCCAGAATGAAACTTTGTAAAGGCAACTCCTCTGAGACTGTTTAACAGAACACTCTTATACTTGAAAGGTCTGCTTGCCAGCACATCTAGTTATACTATCCACATTTTTACAGGAGTTATTGGACTTTAACCTTCAACCCTATAGTATAAACACAATTGTATTCCTCATTTACACAACAGGGGGAACATTTCGCTATGGCATATCAATCTTGTTCATATGAAAAGGATCAGCTGATAGAAGTACCTTATGGAAAATCAAACCTTTTTGCTTGTTTAAATTTCAATGTTTTATCCATCTCATTCAGCAAGACGAGGCAAAGAAAATGAAGAGACATATGAGTTATCATGGGGATACACTAAGAGAGATTCAGAGAGACATTCTAAGTTTATTACCTGATGACATTGCACAAAACAGTTCCCAATCATCAGGTTACCATGACAGCCAGAACAGTAGATATGGACATGAAGATCAGACATCTAGACTAGCTGATCAGGTATGTATTGATAGAATGGATAGTTATTCTTTGGTTTTTATGTTACCCCTTGAACAGTCAAATGGCATTTTCAAATAATTTGTAAATTTTTAAATGTTTACATAGATTTTTCATATCACAAATCACCAAAGGTTATGAAATTAATTTTACGTTTTTGTTTTTCACCTCTAAGGGTATATTAATTGCTGTCAGATGTTGATCAATTTAGTACTGAAAAGAATTTTAAATGTCCAAAATTAAGTAAAAAAGATGTTCAGATGTAAATAAATTTATATCAAATATTGATGTTTAGTGCAAATGGACACATTTAAGACTTTAAAAAGCAAAGAATAGAAATGCATATCCAATAATTAAATGATTGATTTTATTTTTTGCAGAATACAAGGAATACTGCCTACATGCCACAGTTTCATACAAGTAACCATGGAGATGGCAGTGTTACCGATTACAAAGAAAACATTTGTGAGGTAAATCTCTTTATTTAAAAATTATCATAAAGCTAAAAACATATGTGAAATATACACCAGTAATATAGGATGTGCAAAAATAAGAAGATGTGTTGTGATTGCCATTGAGACAATTATCCAACATAAATGAGGATGTAAACAGTGAACCACAGGTCACTTAGACATGTCTTCATACATTTTGCTGCTTTTATAATTTAACCATTTATATTTTTAAAAAATACATGTTAGTTCATCACAAAGACTTCAAAAACATATGATTAAATTAAAACTGATTTGGCAGGACATACATTCCATTGTGAGCACTCTTGTATAGCCAAAAATTGATGTTGAAAATGGGTCCTCCCAATCAATGTTGATAATTACCAAATTTAGAAAAGACATTTGTGTTACTTTGATTAAAAAATGTGTCTTAAGATTCAGAGGTATATTCTTTGCTTTCTGAATTGCTCAAGTAAAATTGTATGCTAACATTTCTTTTTACAGAATATGGACATTTTAGACTATTTGGATGGTCCACCTCAGCCTGAGACAAGGGTGAGAAAGCAGACAAATCCTAAACAGTTGACATCAACAACAGATTCTGATGGAATACAAATGTGGGTCCCTTCAAATGTACATGTTGTATTACTGCCAAAGAAACCTACATTTGAATCACCAAGTCCTGAGAAAATGAGACCAAGATTTATGCACTAACTATGATTTTCTATCAGAATATTTTCACATTCCTATAGATAATGGAAACTATATGTGAATGATATATGAGCAATAATTATATATTTTCTCTTTATTGATACCATTTTCATAACCCTATGAAATCTGCTAAAAATTGTTTTATTTGAAACATGCAATTTTAAAACATTGCATGCATGTTGTGATAAGACTCTCTATAGAGAATTAATTTGTGATTTAGTCATTTAACTTGGCAATGTGTTTTAGAGTAAAAATGCTGTTAATATGTTAGTGAATACATGTTTATTCAGTTTGTTAGATTTATTTATCATAGAAGTATACCACTGTATTTTATTATCAGTATTTCTTATATTTTATTTATTTAATATGGTTTAAAATTTCTTAGTGTTAATTTTGCTTATACTTTTATTGCCATTATTTGAATAACACATAGCTGAGAGGGTGATAGAGCAGATTGTTACCCAGAGAAAACATAGGCGAAGCCAAGGTTTACAATGTCTTTTCGAGGGGTAACAATCTGCTCTATCACCCTCTCAGATATGTGTTATTTAATTTATTATACTGAATGTTCTGTTATTACGGTCGATTAAATTTCAAATTCAAAGTAATAAACTATGACGTCTTGTACATAACAACCATCCGTATTTATTAAAGCGCACACTTGATCAGACGTCTCCGTGAAGGGTAATAGAGTATTTGCCATAGGATAGATTCGTATTTAATAAAGAGCACACTTGATCAAGCGTCTCTGTGAACGGACGATATTTATCTTAACGCACGCAAGAACACCTGTATCGTTTTAAAAGACCCAATAAATTCAAAAGTATCATTTATCAACATCTTAAAAAGCACAATCATCCTATTAAATATTTTAACAGTTCAACCTTCAGAAGTAGTAAATAAGCAGCCTGGTGAATCTCATTCAAAGTTTGTACGATCGCGGAAAATAATTGAATTAAAATTGGATTAAAAAATTACAGACAGTCTACCCTCTCGGTCTTAATGATAATATCATGGGAATTGGTAATATATCAAGAACCGATTCTGTTAACATTTTGGATATAGTTTCTAAAACTGTTCGTAAAAACCGTTCTCATGGGCGTAGAAAAAATCGCAATCAAAGAAAAAACAACAGCAGACATTATCTATTAACCAAGCTCTGTTCTTTACCTATAAATAAATTAAATAAAATTTTAGAGGATTGCAACACAATTTCATATTGCAGTCCTAAGTATGAAATCGTTCAAATTATAATGGCATATTGTTATTCTAAACTGTTTCCCAAAATTGATCGCCCTGAAGATCATAAAAAACATTTTATTAAAATAAAGTATGTCAATAAAGGTTTTGATTTTGTAAATATTGCCGGTATTTTTAACGACCATTCTGTTAAAGAACAAATTGCTGGATATTTTGATAATACTGAACTCCCTCTTATTTGTTATATTTACAAGAAATCTACCTGAAAATTTGTGTTTAATTATAGCCAAGTCTGTAAAGATGTAAATATCAGTGAAAATACACCTCTGTCATGTAATTGTAGTAATTCCGAATACACTTATGGCCCCATTTCCCATGTTATAACAGCAGACCTTAACATCGTTCGCGACCGAGAGTTAAAATCATTCCTCAGTAAAGGACCTTAATATCGTCCCCGTCAATTATTAATTGGAATGAGTGTCGTAATATCATCCACGACTCACTTCGTGCTTACTGTTTGAAATGGATAAAACGGGAAAAAGCTGACAAAAAATCTTTGGACTCTTTTTTTAATTCAGTAATGAAGATAGTTGATATACGTATACAACATTTTAAAGAACATTTTACTCTTAACAACAACCATAAAAATCCTATCTCTCGTATCAAACATAAACTAAAAGAACTAGCCAAGGAATTTGTTTTTGTCCCGGCTGATAAAGCTGCTAATAATATCATTATAGTTTGACGTAAATTTTACATTGAGGTTCTGCAAAAGGAAATCACGAATTCACCAACATTCCAACTGACTTCATTTTCAGAAAACGATATCTGTAACCAACATAAACTATTACCTACTTCTTTACAAGCAGAACCAAATACAATGAAAGTCCCAACTATGTACTGGCTTCCGAAGCTACACAAATCACCTTACAAATATAGATTTATTTCGTCTTCAAGTCATTGTTCCACTACTAAATTGTCTATTCTACTTACTAGTACACTTGGTACAATCAATAACCTGATAATAAATTGTTCAAATAAGGCCTTTGAAAATAGTGGAATTAACTACTTTTGGAGTGTCAAAAACTCGTTGGAAGTACTTGATAAATTGCATGCATATATTGGTGATTTTGAATCTGTTCAAAGTTTTGATTTTTCTACCCTATATACCACTTTGCCTCATATTCTTATTAAGAAAAAATTCACACATCTAATTAAAGCGACATTTAAAAAGTCGGAATGCGAATACATATGTTCAAACTCTTTTAGGTCATTTTTTATTAGCAACAAACAAAAGAGCTATGTCAATTGGACATGCTTTGATACTATATCTGCCCTTGAATTTTTACTTGATAACATTTTTGTTGGCTTTGGAGATTCCGTATATCGTCAAGTTATCGGAATTCCAATGGGGACTAACTGTGCACCACTTATTGCGGACCTGTTTTTGTATTGTTATGAGTTACAATTTATGACTAAAATCAGCAAAGACCCATCGAAACAACATCTGATACAAAAATTTAACAATACTTTTAGATATTTGGATGATATATTGGCTCTCAATAATGACAACTTCAGTATGTATACTAAAGAAATTTATCCTGTTGAACTTACTTTAAATAAAGCTAATACTAACAATGACCACTGTCCTTTCCTCGATCTTGATATCTTTATCATTAACGGGAAGCTTAATACAAAAATTTATGATAAAAGAGATGATTTTTCATTTCCTATCGTTAATTATCCATTTTTAGATGGTGATGTTCCCTTGTCACCATCTTATGGTGTTTATATATCTCAACTTGTACGATTCGCTCGTGTATGTAACAACGTATTAGATTTTAGCGAGAGAAATTTATATATTATTGAAAAATTATTACACCAGGGTTTTCGATATCATAAACTAGTCAAAACATTTACTAAATTTTATCATCGGTATAAGGACATCATTCGTAAATATAACTCAACATGCAGACATCTTATAGGTTCGGGTATTTCACATCCAATCTTTTATGGTAATATTCTTTACAAAGCACAAAAATGTCAGTATTCACCTCAAAAGCTAACAAAACCTTTAAACAGACTTATTAAGAAGGGATATAGTTACGATACTGTTGTCAGGTCATTAAAAATTGCATATTTTGGCTTTAATATTGATTCACTTATAGGGTCTTTGCATCGGAATTAAACATATTTATTCTAAAACCAGTTGTTGGCATGACACGGGTTATGTTCTTCTCATATATTTTATGAAGGTATAATACTAAACTCCTAACAGGAGGGATTGTGCCTGATATTCATATGATGAAGACATAATCTTTCATTCAGTTTAATTGAGGTCTGGAGCTGGCATGTCAGTAACTGCTAGTAGTCTGTTGTTATTTATGTATTATTGTCATTTTGTTTATTTTCTTTTGTTTCCTTTTCTGACATCGGACTCAGATTTCTCTTATACTGAGTTTTACTGTACGTACTGTTGTGCGTTTGTTTTTTCTACATTGGCTAGAGGTATAGGGGGAGGGTTGAGATCTCAAAAAACATGTTTAACCCAGCCGCATTTTTGCGCCTGTCCCAAGTCAGAAGCCTCTGGCCTTTGTTAGTCTTGTATCATTTTTAATTTTAAATTCCTGTGTATAATTTGGAGTATAGTATGACGTCCATTATCACGGAACTAGTATACATATTTGTTTAGGGGCCAGCTGAAGGACGCCTTCGGGTGCGGGAGTTTCTCGCTGCATTGAAGACCCATTGGTGGCCTTCGGCTGTTGTCTGCTCTATGGTCGGGTTGTTGTCTCTTTGACACATTCCCCATTTCCATTCTCAATTTTATTAATAGAGTATTTACCATAGAATAGAGTAAATTAACACCCTCGTTTAAGCCAATCAAAATATTGCATTTTTACGTGAAGTATAATAATAGATATTATGACATTTGTGTGCACATTATGTAGTTTGATGGTGTCAATTTCTGTCAATCATAGTTTATTGAGTATATAATCATAGCAATTATAACAAAGTAAAAACAGTGTGTTGATTTCATTAAATAAGTTTGAAATGATAAAACAATTTATTTTTCTTGCAAATTCAGACACTAAATAATGGCTTATATTTTAATCCCAAAATTTTCCGATTTAGTGTTGAAAGATAGTCACCAATGTACATACGAAGAAATCAAATAATGGGTCTAATATTTCAAACTTTGTGACACATATACAGCTTTTAAAAAAAAAATCATAAACTAAATTGTATTTGTACAGTTCAGTGATCTATGAAGGTTGTCCTAAATTTTGTTGGGACATTATCAGTGTACCCTGAGGGGCCCTTTGGGATGGGAATTGCAGAGAAATATCCCTATTTTCACACAATGAAATTCAGTTTGTTGCAAACAATAACTCCATAGTTGTTACTTCTTTATTCTGTGGTCCTCTGCTTTTCAGAACAGCACAAATGTTTTAACTCAGTCAATCTATTTTTAAAAATAGCAACATGTCCAATATCATTATACAGATCTTTTTGTTTACATATTATAATTGTGTTCTTCAGAGACACATTAAGGATATTGGCTCATATATCTTAGGCTTGAAATAGTATGTGCTATATCTGAGATTTTGTCTTATATTTTGGTATGGCTCAAAATGTGGTCTGGTAGAGAGAAAAAATAGATTTGAAAGATTGAAACAGACATACGTCAGAAGTTTTGTCATAGGCTGAAAATTAAGTGTTGTAATTGGAGTCATAAAAACCCACATATAGCCTTTTGATATTTAAAATAAACTTTAAAAAAAAGGATTTTTTTAAGATAAAAATGTTATACTAACATTATAACCATTTCATTCTTAAATTACCTAAGATAGGTATTGTGACATATTATATTTTAATCAATGAATTATGACCTTATGAAGCTGACCTGTCTTAATGTGATCATATTTTACTTGATATAATACTCAGAACTATTATTATATTTTAACCTATTTAAAAGATTATTCATTTTAGTGACAGCAGTATTATTAAATAGTTATTGTTTGTTTTTATTTTTTTAAATATGGTTTATGTTTAGATTTTGTTTTGTTTTTACAATGTATTCAAAACTTTTTATTTATGATTTCTTTTTGTGTCTGTTATTGAAAAAAAAATGTTACTAGTAATAAAATCTATAATGGATGTTGTGATTTTTTAC